AGGGGAATGATATCCATTTCCCATTAATTTAAAAATAGCTTGGGTATTGAATAAACTGGTGGATTATGATCATTATCATCCTGTAATTGTGTCTCACTTTTATAACACAGCATGTAAGAAGTGTTGATGCTTCCTTCAATAGATGCAGAATAATAATGCATTTTCTCTCCTCCCCCACCCCCTCCTCTTTTGGCAGCACAGAATATGAAATAGAGAAATGTCCTGATATGGGATCTAACTTCATTTTTAATATTCCTCAAAGGATCATTATTGTTAGGCAATTCATGTATTAAATTTGATTTCCAAAAGCTCTTCCTTTAGGGAAATCCACACAGCGCATAAACAACTCCTCCCGCAGCTTTGAAAACCAGTGCCTGGAAAAATGTTATTTCCTCTCATAAGGGGCCAGCTATCATTTGGACCAGTACTTTAAAATTAGATTCTCCCAATGTCATACATCTGGAAAGCTATGCCTGCTTGATAAATATTTCTCCAGCCACTGTTGTGCAATGGAAATGTCAGATTGTTTCCTTATTGTCTCTGATGTGCCTGATGATTACCATAAACAAGAAAGAGTTTTGTATTTCAATAATAAGGTGATTTCTTTTCACGTTTTCATTGTTGTGGATGTTATTTCAAAATATTTTGTGGTGCTTTGAGAATACAAATAGTCACTACTCTGTTCATTTAATGAATCCTAATTTGCTTCTGACTTTTCCATTTTAACTCTTTTTCTTCCAGTCAAGGCTAGTGATTCTTAAAGACTCATTTCATTTTATTTTGAGAGGGTAGGTTTTGAGTCTAACATATGAGGGTTTTTTTTAATCATCACAGATTTTCTTGAAAACAAAATATTGCTCTTCACTATGGACCAGAGAGAAAATTGGCACAGTCACATTATCACATCCCCTAACTGTTAAGTCCTTGAATTAATGGCGAAAGAAGAGCACGCATTCTGTAGCCAACAACTGTTTATTCGTCTTCTGCTCACTCCAACACAACTCTGAGGCTCACAGGCCTCTTTCACATTAAATAGGATCCCCGGGCAAAAAGGTTACAAGAGAAAATGGCGCGCTTTTGCACCTTGCGCATGCACGCAGGCTGGCACCACTTAGTCTGGTCCCGGGCAGCTTGCAACAACCTGGGACCATAGCAACGTCCCGAGCCTGCTTTTGCAGGCTCAGGACACAACACTAACCATGGAGTGAACTCACCCTAGTAGTAACCATTTCTTATGCCTTATTCACATGACATTCTCAATCCCAGCCAACATCTAAGTTATCCTGAAAGTTGCTCATTACATTAACTATAATTCTAATACAGTAGAATTCCCTTTGCACAGTGAAGGGATGATTAAACTTTGGGTGGCTGGGGGTGACAGCCCTTGTGGTTGCAGTGTTGGTGGAGCTACACAATGCATTTGGATGAAGCTGAGAATTTCCACAGGTGGTGAGTTCTTCGTTGCTTAAAGTATTTATTCTAACAGGGCTTTTGTGTTTCTCAGTATTGAAATGACTGTTCCCTTGCAGGGTCACTGTTTTAGAGATGCTTAATATTTGTGGTTTTTGTATTATACCAAGAACATATATTTGTCTTTCATGTGTTCTTTTTCTGCTGCCACTGACTATGTAACCGTTCCTAAGGACATGCTCTGAATTCTTTCCAACTATGAAGTGATAAATTATTTACTATCACCTATGTATGTTTCAGCTTTCAAAACCACAATAAATTCGCATAAAATATGCCAGAAACACATTTGCAGAAGGTAGACAGAAGAAAGGAAAGTTCTATAGAAGAGAGGGTTCAATAGACCAGAGTTTCAAACTGTGTTGCACAGAACCTTAAAGTTGGGTTCCATGAGAGACTACAGGGGAAAAAAGGAAAAGGGGAAAAGGAAAGGAAGGAAGGAAGGAAGGAAGGAAGGAAGGAAGGAAGGAAGGAAGGAAGGAAGGAAGAAAGAAAGAAAGAAAGAAAGAAAGAAAGAAAGAAAGAAAGAAAGAAAGAAAGAAAGAAAGAATCACATAAGCTCTGCTTGATCGAGGGTTCTATTGCTTGAAAAGGTTTGAAAAAAAATCTGCTTTAGGCAGTTTAAGATGGAGAATGCAAAAGAACTAAGAAAAGCTTTGGGCATAGATGGGCAAATTAAGTCTTTTATTGGTCCATATAGTTTGCAAATCTACTCTTTCATAAATCTGTTCTGCTATCTTTGCACTTCAGCACACAAATTAGCACATATATTATTTTGAAATGTGCTTATTTTAATTAATAAAAACTCTTTCAATGCAGTTGATCCAAGAAGATAATTTAGTACTAAAATTTACATTCTTAAGCCAAGAGATTTGCCGTGGGACATAACTGCAAAGGATGCCTTCATTTATCAAGCCAAAATAGTATTGACTTGAGGATAGTCAAGTCACTTTCACACCTGAAGCAGATCCCACGTGACATTCTGGTAGGTTTTTTTGAATCAAGAAAGTGCTGATAAAATTCAGAGAAATACAAAAAAACATAAAATAACAGTGAAGACCTGGATTACCAGACATTGAGGCAGTAAACTTTGCAACATTTTGCAGCAATTTACATCATTTGCATGATGGTATAAATAAATGCAAAGGCTATAAATTTATTGTATTATGAGGCCATGCCTTGCATAAATTGCCACATTATGAATTTACCTATTAAATAGACATTCATAAAGCAGGGGTAATACCTTCACCAATGTGGTTTAACTATATTCTAATCCAAACCAACAAGTAAATTTATACAGAACACATACTGCAACCGTAACCCATCTTTCTGATGTTATTTTTTCTCCAAAACAATTTCCTTCACTTCATACTTTCCATAAACATTTCGGATAATTGCATAATGCATCTCAGAATTGTATTTTTATTACACTTATTTCAAGACTTCACATTAATGGAGAATAATACATAAGCTGGGAAAAATTAAAGCAGGAAATTTACTACCTGTATATAAAACATGAAGCTATGTAGGACACAAATATAATTGGCATAAATATATCAATACATAATCATATATATTAATAAGTACAAAAATTCCTAGTACTTTGAACCAAATATGACTTCTAAATCCTCAGCAGAGATTAACTTACTTATTATATACTTAAATTAAGATTTTTTAGTTTTAAATCTTTTTCAAACATTGATTGCCCAATGACATCATGCCTATGGATAAGCATAATGAAATATGGAATCTATTTATACAAAATAGGTTAAAAATTAATAGTTATGCAAGTGTATTAGAAATAAATACATACCCATTTGAATAATATTTACATTAGATAAATATTAAAACTACAATTATAACTGTTATGTTATTCATTTTAAAAGCACTTTTAATGTCCTGTTTAATTTTTAAAAAATTAGAAATAAATTACATTTTGAAATAATTGTATAATTTTTATCATTCTTGGTTTATTTCTTAAAAACAGAAATGACTTAATAAGAAGAGTACTAAATGCTATATGCTATACTCACTGCTGTGTTTAGATGATTTTAAAATGTTCAGTAGTCCACAAGGTAAATATAAGCTTATTTTAATAACTAATTACTCCACCCTTTATTATGGATGCTCGTGGGATGACTAAGGGTCAGCCAGTCTCTCTCAACCCATCTTACATAAGACTTTTGTAGGAGAAATTGGAAGGAGCCCCATATGCCATCTGGGATCTTGGCAAAAAGGTGGAATTTAAATATTACAAACACATATATTTAGCATCAAAGAATGATTCTTTTTTTTAAAAAAATAATGGGGTTGTCAAACAATATGTCCAATCGCTTCTACTTTGTTCAGTCTCATTATAGATTATCATAAAACATTAGCAAGAATATTGAAGTTCTTAATAAAAAGACAGAAAATGATGTAATTATTTTACTTGCAGATGATATCCTCATTTTTCTTCAGAATCACAGCAAAGATATAATTTAATTGCAGCTTGAATAAATACATTTTCTTCATTAGTGGCTTGGAAGTCAATTTAATAAATCATCTGTTATGTTAATTAACATTAGTAATGAATCACAAAAACCTCTTCAAAAATCTACTGCCTTGACTTCTTATTTATATCTTACTTAAAATTGATTATTATAAAGCATCTTTTTTGCACAAGATTAAAATATAGTTTAAATCATCAAAAAAACTTCCTTGATGGAATAGTTCCAGTAAAAACAACTGCTTTCCTAGAATGGGATGCTTTTTCCAATGCCATTGCTTAGTACTTTGATTCATATATTTATTTTTTTTCACTTAAATGTCTCAATTTTTTTTTAAAAAAATAATAATTAATTTAGGGGCATTGAATTGGATTTGACTTCTACTAACTTCATGAATAAATGTTCATCATTTCAACCTGTCTGTAGCAATAAAGAGTAGCTCTTCCAGGTCCTGTAATTTCTTTTCTGATCTCCTCCATTTACGTTAGCTGTTATCATATCCATTTTTGTTTCCCTGAACATATTCATGTTTTCTTTTTTAAAACAGTTTTCATTGAAGGATTTTACATATATAAGATGTGCAAGAAATGTAAGAGACCTGGCCTATAGAATCGCCAGGAGTTGAATGGATGGATAACATCATCAGTATGTGCAAGAATAAGAAATACATTAAACAAAGATATAGTGCAGGTAGTCCTCAACTTACAACAGTTCATTTAGTGACCATTTAAAGTTACAACAGCACTGAAAAAAGTGCCTTAGGACCATTTTTCACACTTATGACCGTTGCAGTACCCACACAGTCATGTGATCTAAATTCAGATGCTTCAACTGGTTCTTATTTACGATGGTTGCAGTGTCCCAGGGTCACGTGATCAGCTGTTGCAACCTTCTGACAAGCAAAATCAATAGGGAAACCAGATTCACTTAACAACCATGTTACTAATTTAACAACTGCAGTGATTCACTTAACAACTGTGGCAAGAAAGATCATAAAATGGGGCAAAATTCACAACAAATGTTTCACTTAGCAACAGAAATGTTGGACTCAATTGTGGTCATAAGTTGAGGACTACCTATAAATGTGAAAGATGAAAAAAGAAAGACAAAGAAGGAGAAAAGAACAGAACAGAAAACACACAAATATAAAAGAACAGATTCCAATCTTCTTCTCAGCAGTTAAACTATACAATTCTGATCAAACCTCTCTAAGATTGCATCACATTTCCCTTTTTATAACCTATTCTTTCTAGTCATCAAAAACATAAGTCAACCAAAATCATTTTTTTTCTGCAAAAAGTCCATAAGTGGTTTCTAGTCATTGATGGATGTCAATAAATGATCTTGTTCTAATCAAAGAAGTCAGTTTGTCCATCTTGGCCAATTCTCTTCATCAACCATTCCTCCATGGTGGGGAGTGCCAAGTCTTTCTGCCTATGTTCGTATAAAAATCTTACCACAGTAGTCATATATTGAAATAATCTTCCACGAGTTTTTTTCCCGTTTATCCACTGGATCAAGGGTAGGCAACCTCGGCTCTTTTATGACTCATGGACATCAACTCCATGGCTGGCTCAGGAATTCTGGGAATTGAAGTCCACGAGTCATAAAAGAGCCAAGGTTGCCTACCCCTGCACTAAATAATTAGCTAAAAGGGAAAGTTATGCCTTCAATTGAAAATTAATCTTGAAAATCCACTGTATCAATATTTTATCTGAATTCAAGAAACAATAAATCTTTGTTCGATTCAGGACTGCAAGTTCAATTCTTCTTGCAGCCCATGATATTCTGTATCTCCAGGGTCATAATTTAAAGGCCACTGTTTTTTTTCTTTTTTCAGAGCTGACTTTAAAGAGGCATATTTGCCCTTGAAAGACCAGTTTTAACTGTGATCTTGATTTGCGTTAAAGTATTCTTTGTCATTCCCTTCTTCCTTAAGATTAATTTCAACTTTATTTCTCTAGCACATGGTTCATCTAGCTATTTTAAGCATAGAAAAACAAAAGCATCTTCCATCTTCAATTCCTCTTTATCCATTATAAGTTTGTTAAGCATGTAGGCTGATAATGTCTTTGTCTTCTCAATTTTTGAAACTCACTTTTTACACTTTCCATTTTTACTTACATTATGACCTTTTCTAAGAGATGATAAATAATTGCATAGTTTCTGTTCTTCAGAATATGCATAGTTGCCATATTTCTATTCTTCAAACCAAAGAAATATGTACCATCACACATGGCTTCGCCCTTATTACCAGCTCCTGTTTTACCACAGGATGTGTGGTTATGTCTTTACTTTACCCCAACTTTATCTCCTCTTCTCCTGAGCATCACCTGCCAGAAAGAAAACCACTTGTCACTCTTCCTTTTTTATTCTTAAAACTCTATATTTTAAAGATTGTGTTTGTGAAGTAAAAAGGCAAAAGAAACAGAATAAACAAAGGATGGCTAATTAGAGTAAAGAAACAGAGCCATTAAGAGGTAGGACCATCCTGACTGAACTGGCAGATTCTTGGATTATCTCGACGCTGAAAAATAGCAGCTCTTTAGATGGCTGCACCCATCTGAAATAGGGAATGGATCACAACAGAATGTTTCTGCACAGAGAATTTTGTGATTTGGTAGTTGTTTGGTGTTGTTGTTTTTTTTTCTTTTGTTACCAAAGAAGCTTAAATAGTCTTACAGAAACTCTTCTTGTTTCCTTCTTAACACATTTTTTTTAAATCACGATTTCCACTATAGATACTCCTCGACCAATTGATTAGCAGCCATTCAAAGTTACAACAAAAAGCTATCAGATCCCAGAGTTCTGATAGTTGCCTATCTGCCCACGGACACATAACTGCATTTTGAGCACTTAAGAATTGACTCACCTTTATGCCCAGTTGTAGCATTCCTCATTTACATGACCACAACCTTTTTTGGCATTTCCAGCCAAAAAAAAAAAAAAATCCATAGGAATATATTGATTTGCTTAACGACCAAGGTGTTTGCTTAATAACTGCCACATTCATTTAACAACCATGGTATTTGCTTAACAACTGTTGCAAAAAAGTCGTAAAATCAGGTCTAGTCACATGGGTGCCTCGACTTACAGTCATCATGACTTACGATAGAAATTCTGGGCTCCATTATGGTTGTAAGTTGAGGACTACCTGTATTCTGATCAATTCTCTAAAAGCAATGTCGAGTTCAAAGCAATCCATAACTTAATACAGGCAAATTTTCTATTTCCATGTTAAAAGGGCAACATTTCAAGCGTGTTTCTTAATAAATATTTTGAAACCTTTCTAATATGCCTTGGATTGCCTTATAATATATTTATTTCAGCACGTACCTCAACATGAAGCTATCGAATGTCATTACTGGCTCATACTTGTTTCATTTCTTACCTTAGGAAAACAAGATCTTATTAACTGCCACTTACATGAGAAATACTGCAGGTGCTCCAATAGCAGTACATTGGCTATGGGGTGGAGAGATTCTAGCTTTTTTCCCCACCACAAGACTGATTGTAATTTTTTTATGCTGCTATAATGGAAAAATCACCATAATTATCCAAGCTGTGTTTACTTCTGCAGTTCTATGTTTCTTTCAATTCCATGCTGCATAGCATATTAGAAGAATCAAAGGTAATCACTTCAACCTTCAAGAAAGAAAGAAAAAAGTAATTCCACAGAGTTTTGGTGCAAATAACAGATTTCGTTAACACAGCAAGAATGGCAGGATCTCAGCAGCACATGAAATAAATAACAATTGATTGGATTAATGAGTAATATGGTAAGCTGTAAAGAACCAGAATGGTTAGATTCATGCAACACACCAAGCCGTAATGCAGTTAACTTTGTTTTGGGCCACTGTGATGTGTGAAAACATTACTTTACTATGTCATTAACATGCATATTGATTGTAGTTGTTTGACTCATCCATACACACACACACACACACACATACTAGGGAGTGCAGATATGAATGGACATGTTTCAAGGAGTAGATGTGGGAACTGTCAATCAAAGCGTGACAATGCAAGGTATTTCTTTCCTTCCTGAAAATATAGGAGGGACCTGGCAAGGTAAGGGTTAGGGAAGTTGAGGTAAAAGGCCAAATCTGAGGAACATTCACAGCCTCAGCCTAAGGAAAACCCATCTGTCACAGAGTCAGGGTTAGGAATATAATTAGTGCCAGTGCAGGAAAACATGGACTGGCTATAGCTATAATGCATAATCTAGTGGAACTTGTTTATAAACCGTTCTGAGGCATTTATAAAAGCCAATGTGTTTCCTCATTTACATTTTAAGCCAGTGACTGCATTGTCTCCTTCCTTCATGTTACACTAGACAAGTTGGCTAAATAAATAAATAAAAAATAAAGGCTAAAAAGATAAGAATTTCTAATCCAGAAAAGGCTTGGAGCTGTTTGCAAAAGTTGTAGAATCATTCATTTAAGAAGAATGTCAGTGATGTACTTGGCTCTGAATAATGCCACAGAGTATGCACAAATTCTTTTAGTAAATTTGGAGCACAAATCTAGATTCCCAAAGAAGATTTTCCTCCTCACACCAATTTGGGTCTAGGACAACTTGACATGGCCAATTTGTTGTGGGCCAAATCACCATAGCCAACTCGCTGCCACCAACTTGCCATGGTCAACAGGATGTGGCCAATTCGGATAAGAGTTACACTAATACTGAAGAAATGGTGGAATAGAATCTTTAAAGAAAGGATGCAAAAAGAGGGACAAAATGAAATGAGAATAACAAAAAATAGAATAATTTTTAAAATTATTTTAAATACTTAAATTGAATTGTTAAATTGTCCTGCAACGAGTTGTCCCGTGATGAGTTGTCCATGGTGAGTTGGCTGCACTGAGTTGGCCCATTCTGCTCCAATCTTCCCTCTTACAATTGATTCTTCCCCTTTTTGAATTCCTGCCTGTATTTCTTACATCTCATTCATTGTCTTTACTTGAGTTGCTATTTCACTGACCTTTCAGAAAGATATCTGTGTGAATGCTAAGCTAAAAATAATCCCCCAGGTCTTTTGAGCTGATATATTACCACTTGTGTTTTTCCAGCTCTTGACAATTTCATATTTATGGAGATTAGTTTCCTCAGCTAGAGTTTCCCAAGCAGTACTGTGTAGAATGACAAGAAAATCTCTGTTTTGTGTTGAGTGAAAAAAAAATAGAACCAGATAAACTCTGTTGTTGTCAAAACACAAGCTCCTGGAGAAAGATGGTTATTAAAATTAAACATGACCAAATAAACTACAGGCTCAAATATAAAGCTAGCCTGTATGTGAGAGCCACAAGCAGTAGTGGGGTTCAGCCAGTTTGCACCACTTCGGCAGAACTGGTAGCTAATTTTTTGTTGCCCAGGCCCAGAATGGACTTCCGGAAGTGACATCCACATAGAGAACCAGTTGTTCACATATTTGAATCCCACCACTGGCCACAACCACAGTTTTTGCTGAAGCATTGCTTAGCACAACTAGAAGCAAAACCTCATTTAATTATTATATGAAGATGGTGATGATGAAGATAAATTAGCCTCTGTGAAAATCTGCTGAAATCTGTTCTCTCCATTTGATTAGAGTGATTACTGTTTGGCTTCCATAGGCCTGGTTGGTATAAACAGAAACAATCTTATCCCACCCATTAAAGGTCAATGCTAGTCTTTATCCCTGTTGCTATATCCTTAGTCAGTATGAAGTAAGCTGATAGGGGAAAAAATGAACTCAAGATAGGATAAAAAAATAACATTAACTGTTAGTTGTAGTTCAATTACTGTTTAGAACGGGTGTCAAAGTCACCACGTCACATGACGTGTTGTGACATATCGCAACTTTTTTTCCATTGCCGGTAATGGGGTGGGCACGGTTTTGCCATGACGCATCTGGCCCGTGGACCGACAGTTTGACACCCCTGGTTTAGAACTAGTTTGGTATAGTGGTTAAGGCATCAGGCTAGAAATCAAAAGATGCTGAGGTTTGTCCCACCTGAGGCACAAAGCCATCTGTTTGGCCTTGAGCAAGTCACTCTTGTTCAGCCCTCAAAAGGAGGCAAGGGTAAGCCACTTCTGAAATCTTGCCAAGGGACTGGTCCAGGTATTCAACAAGGATCAAAACTGTCACAAAGTTCAATAGATCCTGTATCTATACAATTGCTGACCCTGCCTTACAATCAGAGATGTTCAACTTATAAGGGAAAGAGAAAGGAAGAAAGGAAGCAATGGAACATGACCAACTGGAGGAAAGATGTTAAGCTGAGACAATGCATTTCAAATGACTTCTCATCTAATTTAAACAAAGGATATAGGAGTATTGGTAAATTAATACATTATTACAAATTTCCCTATTTCCTCATATATTTTCTCTCATTGTTTTTGTATGAATGGCAGCAAACTGTTTTGTGTTATTGTTTATCTACAGAGGCTTAAAAAAATTAAGATGGAGGCCTTGGCCAGGCAACAAATGGGACAGAGTTTGACTGTATAATTACAGACACCATCTTGACACCATACATGCACTTTATGGACAACTTGGTTCACAGTTGGAAGGAACCTTGGAGATCTTCTAGTCCAATCCCCTGCTGAAATACGAGACCTATGCCATTTCAGACAGATGACTGTCCAGTCTGTTTTAAAAAATCCTCAGTGATAGAGCACCCACAATTTCTGGAGGCATGCCATTCCACTGGTTTATTGTACTCACTGTTAGGAAATGTCTTTTTATACTACTATTTGCTACTATTACAAATTTCTTCTTAGTTCTTACTTCCAGGTTAGATCTCTCCTTGATTAATTTCCATCCATTATTTCTTGTCCAGCCCTCAGGTGCATTGGAGAATAGATTGACCCCCTCTTCTTTGTGGCAGATCCTTAGATATTGGAACACTGCTGTTATATCACCTCAAGTCCTGTTTTTCATTAAACTAAACACACCCAATTAGGGAACAGAATTAAGACCAATTTGAAAGGGTCTTAGGCAAAATGATCCCTGAAAGATATTTCTAAAAGAGGTGTTAGCACTCTAAGCAGTATTGCACAACTGGATCTAGCACAAGCAACAGCTCTGCTTTGCATTCAAAACATTTTGTTTCTTACCTGAAAAGTTCTCTGATGATATCCTGACTTTTCTGGAAGTTTTCTAAGCTCAAAATAGCTCAGAATATTTGGAATGCCAGCCATTTCAATCTTAAAACAAGCTCTCCAAACTCAATATGAGATGTTTTGAGCTTAAAACATGTTGAATTTGAAATGTTTGGCATATTACTACTAGCAATTATTTAAATTTCTCTCAGTGCCCAGCAAGCAGCTGCATCAGAAATTATGCATCATTAGGACTAAACCCAGCAACCAAGCTACTTTGACTAGTGCACCTTCAGGAAAAAAAAACAAAACTGATGACCCTGAGGCTTTATCAGCTGCCCTTGTGGAAGTGAGAGAATCCACCTGTAGCCAGGCTTCTTGCTAATTTATTTATTTCTGTTATACTGTAAGGACTCCATTGGTTAAGACTGGTAATAGTCACTCATTGTGCAATACCATTAGGAAAACATTCATTGGTGTGAACTGGGATAACATTGTGCTCCTTTTAGAATCAGTCACAAGAATGGATTTAAATAAAGGAGATTTCTCCTCTGAAATCCATGTTGTTCTTATCTATCTTAAACAGCTTCCATATGCAGGTACATTGAAAGCAATAGCAAAGCATTTCTTATTATTGTCAAAAAGAATGTATGTGTATCCACATAGCCCTTTGGTATTAATCTTGACTTTAGGGAGTCTTTACCTTTAGCACAAAGATAGGGACTTAAACATTCCCTGGCATTTATCTCCAAATAATCTTTTAATAAAAAAAAGATTAGTGAGCCACAAAGGAGATAACCGATAATAACTCATTTTAATTTCATTTCTCAAATGAAAACCCTTCCTTCTTGTCTTTCTATTAATCTTTCTTCCAGGCTGAAGGACTTCTAGTGGTTCTCACTGGCCTCAGAATACTTTTAAGCAGACTGCTTTAAAGTACATTTCAGTATGGAAAGTTATAAAATCCACGGTGAACAAAACCATGACTTCAATTTTCAGATTCATGCCCTATGGCTTAATCAATTTTACCCAGTAGCAAAACATCATAAAGAGCTGCTTACAAAACTACACCAGCATTTATCAGATGAAAGTAAGTATGGTGTATGTTGTTTTCCACTGGGCTATGTGTGAGAAAGGCTGTTAATATAGAAAAGCAGAAAGCAATCTAAAAAATGGCCAAAGCGATGAACCTTCTGGCTGATACTGTTAGGTTAAAGGATTTTTAGGAAACCTTTCAAAAACACTATTTCATTACCACATTATTACGTAATACAGAAATAATTCAATAAAGTATACTAATCATGAACTAAAAAACAAGTGGGATTTTACACAAAGCTGGACAGCATTTAAATAAATATTTTAGCAGTTTCTTCTTACTTTCGGTTTATATCTTGATTTTTCCCAGGTTCTGCAGTGGCACCAACAGCCCCGCCCAGCCAGCCCACTTCTTCTGTGGGCAAAGGAGCAGTTTCATTCCATAGCTGAGAATGGAGCTCCGGCCTGCATTTTGCAGTCAGAGGCCTTTCCGGAAAACATTCACAGCTGAGAACCAAGTTATGGATTGAATCCATAGCTGGGTTCTTGGCTGCAGAGGCCTTCTAGAAAGGCCTCTGATTGTGAAATGCAGGCAGGGGGATGCCGCAGAAGAAGTGGGCTGGAGAGGAGAGGCAGATGTTGATTCCGGGGAACGTTGCCGAAGCGCAGGGCATGCTTCAAGCTGCCGTTGTCAGTTGCCTGGACCCCGTACTTGCTGCCGGCGTCCTCTCCCTGCGTGCCATCCTGTCCTTACCTCCCCATGTGTGTCGAGCCCAGCTTGATTTTTAGGCATGCACCTCACCCTAAAACTAGGGCTTATTTTGGGGGTAGGGCTTATATTAGGCCTACCCCCCAAAATCAAGCTAGGGCTTATTTTCAGGTTAGATCTTACTTTGGGGAAAATACGGTATATAATGATGACAGTATGCAAATAGTTTGCAATTTGATTGTTCTGAATTTTTTTCTTTAGTATCATAACCGACAACCCTGATATTCCTTGGAGGTCTCCTAGCAAGGTATTAACCAAATCCAATCCTGCTTAGCTTTCAAACTCAAAGTCAGCCAGGTATCATTACCCAGTAGTGAAGTCCAAACACATTCCTATAATAAGGCTCCCATATCTGAGCTTTCCCAAATCCAGACAACCTCTAGACCAGTGGTTCTCAACCTTTTTAATGCTGCGACCCCCAACCGGTCGTAAGTTGAGAACTACTCAACTGGTCGTAAGTCGAGGACTACTCAACTGGTGCAGCACCGTTTGCAGAATGGGACTTTTGGCGGGCTCAGCAGGGCAGAGACAGCCTGGACAATTCCTATTGGCTTTTGAAAGCCAATAGAATTAGACTCTATTCAAGAGAGTCTATTCTATTGGCTTTCAAAAGCCAATAGAATAAAAGGGAGTAGCACAGCTAAGGAAAAGGGGAAAAAATGGCGGACTGCGTTGTTTGGCGACCCCCGTGAAATGGTCGTTCGACCCCAAATGGGGTCCCGACCCACAGGTTGAGAACCACTGCTCTAGACAGCAGCTAAGAGACATGAGAAAACTAATTGTAGCTCTGGCCTCACCATCTCACACCACTGTAATGTGTTCTGCATGGAGCTCCCTTCAAAATCTATTTGAAGTTTCAGTCAACAGAGAAATTAGTTAACCATATGCAGACAGGTGAAAGCCAATTGAACAGAACAGCATCCTTTCTTCAGTTTTGCTGCACATGTTACCAAGTATATTTCTGGATACCATTCAAACTGTTGCTGATCATCCATATTGCCTACCATGGCTTGGATCTTAGTTACCTTGGGGTTACCAGCTAATTTACCTGTTGCCACATTCAAATCATAAAGGCACGCCATGTATTCCCAACTCCCCTGAAGCTAAAGGGAAGTAGGTATGGCTCCCTTCCTGTTAACATTCTGCAAGATGAAAACCATGCTTTTTAATGAGGCTCTGGCGCTTTGATTCATGAGGAGGTAGCTGCTGCATGGAACGAGATCGGTATTATTGAATTTACAATAAGGTTAACACCAAAAGGTGGATATGCAATGCCTGACTGAGGCTGCGATCCCGTGTGTAGTTGTTAGGGAAATACGGTGGATTGTACTCACTTTGCATATTTCTGAATCCTTAGGCTTGGGATTATAGAGTACAATATCTGAGAACCAAGTAAACAAGCCAAATCATCAGAGAAAATATGTCTTAATTTTTATTAAAATATTTTCTACCTCGATGAGATTTCAAACTCTGTGGGATTTCAGACAAGTAATTTTTTTTAAATTAGGACTGGAGGTTTTTTTGGGGGGGGGTTACCTCTGTCTCTTTGCACACAAGTAAAGCACTATGAACCACATAGCAGCAACCCTGTCAAATGATGCACAATAATGAAATCATGCTTAGACAACTGTGATCTCAAAAACCTAAACAGGGTCACATCTGGTTATAATGTGAATGGAAGACCACTGGAAGTCTCAGGGCTATATAGCACTCTGGACAATTAAGCAGCAAAATAAAAAAAAGCATGGGCAAAGTTGATTAAGATAGATAAATAGCTGTGCAGCTAAGTCATGTCCCACCGTAAACCGTTTGAACATCCTGGTAGAAATACATGCAAAGGAACACAATTCATTAATTCCTGATCACAGAGAAAGCCTTTTTTTTTCAGGAACTGCCCATGCCGTAGATATTTTTGAATAGATTCTTCTGCTGACTCACCTGCAGCACTGTTTTATACTTGTCTTTTTATTCTTGTAGAATCTTTACTGAGAACACTGCTTGACCCACCATCTAGGTTGAAGAGAAACAAGCATCCAGGCCTCCAATGTTAATTAGCAGAGAACTAAAATACCCCGCACTCCTTATTGATACAGTAAAGGAAAAACAAATATAATATAGGGACCTCCAAATAATCATAATCCCTGAGGCAGGTACACTGTAGTCCACATGCAGAACAGTGGAATATGACTGCTGCACTTTTGCTTTTTGCTTTTTTTAAAAAACTGTAAATGGAGTTTGTCCTGTGGCAGAGATTAAATTCTTATCAGCATAAAAGAGGTTTCCATGATTTTTTTAGAAATTCATTTAATTGTGCCTTTTAGGAAACAACAACCCAGCAGACTGGAGTGGCAGGAGCCCCAAAATTGCCAGGGACATCTATATTTACAAATATACAATTTATGACTACAATTAGACCAGAACTTCCATCACTAAGTGATGCGGTCATTAAGTGCTTCCCCCCCCCCGATTTTACTACCTTTTTGCTGTGTTTATGAGAAACACATGGTTATTAAGCAAATCCAGCTTCCCCACCCCACCCTGTTGATGGGATGCTGCAACAATTGTAAACACATGCCAGTTTGCACTCAAATTTTGATCAAATGACCACAGGAACACTGCGAGAGTTTTAAGTAAAACAACCACAAGTCGCTTTTTTCAGCACTGTCATAACTTTGAATGGTTGTTAAATGAATAGTCATAAATTGAAGACTGCCTGTATTTCCTATATCTCCACGTACTCATCCACATTTGTGATTCCTAAGATATAACAAACATAGCATTGATTGCACTATATGTTGGTTGCATGCATGTTCTTTGGACCAGGGATGGGCCATATTTGAAAGGTCAAAGCCAAAACTCAACCTTTGGACCTTCTCAAAGCTTCAGGAGGACATCCTCTGATTGGAAGACTTTCCTGGAAGAGATGAGGCTGAAATTATTCATCCATTTCCTCCTGCTTTTGGGTGTGTGAAGTATGAAAATGGGAATAGGAGTCCTCTAGGCCAGGGGTCCCCAGCCCCTGGTCTGTGGACCAGTACCAGGCCGCGGCATGCCAGCAACTGGTCCGCACAAACAAGCAAAGCCCCATCCACAGGATGCAGGCAGCATCCAAAACCACACACCCTCCAGTCCATGGAAAAAACTCTCTCCATGGAACAGGTCCCTGGTGCCCAAAAGGTTGGGGACCTCTATTCTAGGTGGTAAAGTCATGCAATCTTTCCAAAGTCTTGAAATCACTAATTTGGCAGCCAGTTTAAAGGAGGACTTTAATGTGCTTTTTCTAGTCCTTGAGTAGGAGGAAAGAAAGCGGACTAGAAAAGTCTGGCCTCCCTTTTTTCCTCAGTGTTGAGATGGTTACTGTGCTGTCCTCACACAATCGAATGCAGAATAGTTTCTGGTATGGGCAGCGATTGGAGGCTTTCCTGCCATCCTTTCCCTTCCTACCCGTGTTATTTACCAACAGGAAAGCAAACCACCAAATGCAGATCTGAACATGGGTCAGAATGGGGTTGTGCATATAACCAAACTACCACTTGGTTATATATTTTATATTGCCCTACTTTACTAGTGGATTTTCATTGTGGATATAGTGTTCACTTGCTAGTTAGCCAAAAACTGCTCACATCTGTCCCTTAGAAAGAAGGCAACTTGCCTCTCCACAAATGGATTCTTCTCCTCCAAGGCTGGGCTGGGAAAAAGCAGCTTGGTGGGAAGAGATCTCTCTCCCACGCCCCCAGCCAACTCCAAACTGGGAGTCTCTGTTGTTTGGAATTGTTACTTCTCTTCTTCCATGGCCTTAAAATCATGTTAGGTTTCTTTAAAAATGTTATTTCTAGCCAACAGAAGAGCAGACTCCCACTTAAAGGAAGCCCCTATGCATGATGGAGGGAGGGGGCTTCCACACAGAGGTCTCCAAAGACTTCTTCAGCTCTCAGCAGAGCAACACTTCTCCTCCTTGTTAGGTTCCTGGCTAGGAGACTGAGGTGTTTACTCCACCTAGATCCAGGGTCTTACAGCCAGACAGCTGGCAGCAAGAGCAATAGGAAGTGAGCTGGTTGGCCACATGAAAACCTGAGCAACTGAAAAGGAGATACACTGCAGCTGTTTCTTTTCACCGACTCCCTCATTTGATCCACTTACAGAAAAAATATAGTGAGCAAAATTCTGTTTTCTGGTTTCTTTTTCCTCTCCCTTCTGGCTTATTCTTTTTTTTTTCTCAAGGTGACCCCTTTTAAGTCCACCAACAACCCACAAAAGAGTAGAGCAATCAGGTCCCTTTGCCCAAAGTAGCTCCAGCAAAGTGTTATTTCATTAGCTTAAGTAGTGCTGAGGCTCACAGAAACTAGCTGGTTTTATTTGGACTTAACCAATGGAAATACCAGCAGTGAATGCATTCAGTCTTCTATGAGGTTGATAATCCCGTCTCCAATTCCATCCTCAAAAAACAAGAACATAGCTGGCTGGGTGTTAATGCTTCATGAAGACCCAGCTGAAATTATTATGGAGACACACAACCCAATGACCAGACAGTCCCACAGCAGAGCTGCTGTGCTAACCATAGCCTGGCTGACAGCTAATCTCCACAAACCCTACAAAGTCCACATGGGAAGTTTTGTGTTGTAATACCATACAAGAACATACAAGAACCAACGTCAGCCTGCTTCGGCAACAGACTGGCAACAAGAGAGGCTACATCAGGAGGACAGGTTAGTGGGCCATTTTTGTACTAAAGCAAGTAAGATCTGGTTGGTGCAAAAAAAAAATAGTCAAGAGACTGACCAAACTTCAGGGATCCTATTGGCAAAATTGAGCAAATTACAGAACAAGGAAGTTAACCACATACTATTTGGGCACTCTTACATGAGGGCTTTGCACAAGTTTAGACTCATTTTTCCGATGTCAGTGTTGGCAGGCTTGGGAAATGAATTGCCCATATTTCTGGCTGGTGTATATGAAACCAGAGCAAAGCTGGTTCTTGCTTCTGAATCACTATAGTTCTGCTGAGTTGTCGGGTTGTGTGTTTGCCAATTGGCAGGAATTTTGACCTTATCTGTCTTCCAGCTTCTAGACATACAACAGTCATTAGTCTTCCTCCCTCCCTCCCTCTCCCCATTAACACAGAGTTTAAGCAGGTACATATTATTTGGAGTTTATCTCCCCCTTCTTCATTCTTGAACAGATGTATTGATAAAAAGAGAATAGTGGCAAAACATGCCAGCCTCCTATCATTTCATGAACACAGCAAGCAAGAGATTTACAAGAATAATGCTATCTTACAGCCCAGAGGTTTTCCCTTAAAGCAACCACTCAGTTTTGTTTGTCTGCTTTTTAGCAAATAACCAGACAAATTCACACAACATTTACTAAAAAGATGAATCTGGGATGCTACCGGTAGAACCTTTATTCCTCTTGTGATTTTGTTGCTCCATCACCAGTAACAGATCAGTTTGAAGCTCTTTGTGTTCTTTTATTGATCAGCAGAAATGAAAACAACCATTGTCTGCTTCAACTTATTTGTGAAGGATTAGGAAACAAAAATAACAAAAATGCCTAGTTTTTGCAGCATGTCTGCTTGCTACCAAGGCTTTTATGCAGAGAAAACACAGGACTTAAGGACTTAGAGCCGGGATAAATTCTTGAGTTTTTACTCCGAAGTTGTCTACCTGAATCCTTACACTTTTGCACTATGCTGTGCAACATCCATTCTTTGGGGCTTGGTAAGAGTATTTTCAAAGAGAAATGACTGAGCTACATCTCTGGACAAAATGTCCACGTTGAACTCCATATTCAGATTTCAGCTTTTGATTTGATTCCTCCAAAACAAGGATTCATCTGGGGGGGGGGGAACCATGACAATGAGCCACAAGAGTGAGACAGACCTCTGTTTTATTGCCCCCCCCCCAAGGAACTCATTATTGGAGGGATCTAAACAAGAGAACAGGAAATCAAATAGTTAAAACCAGGTTCAGCTTTATAGAAAAAGCATGGAAAAAATCGGCTTCAAAAGCTGACTGTAAAATATGGTATGTTTGATTTTCCACCAACATACTCATGTATTTAAAAAAGTAATTTTTAATGGAAAAGCTTTTTGGCTGTCATACTTAAAGGTAGTCCTGTTATTAGCCCAGAGAACACTTTTTCTGTGTATATTTTAGTCACCTTGGTTTTGCAACTCAGTACACATTTTGAGATAATTTACATAGCAAGCTGGCTATAAAAATATGGACCAAGACTGTGGCCCATATGCCCTCTAGTCACAGGAGAAAAAAAAATCCATCCCATTGAAGTATTCCATTTTGTATGTTATTATGGATTTTTTTTTTCAATGATGACAATTCCATTGTACTAACATATCTGGTGTTTTAGGCAGGCAAGACGTTTAAATGTATGTTGCTTTAAAGTTCCTAATTTCCCTGAAAACATTTATCTTAGAAATTTACTTTAGCCATGCTAAGTTCTCTGGTCACTATCCAAAAAGCATCTAAGTTCATCCAATACTCCAGCTGTATGTGCTTCTTTCCAATGATGGATAGCCAAAGTATGTTGAATCCCGCATTTGTCTGCCTGATAACTTTCTCCAAGGAGTGGTCCCACCATCAGAATGAAAATGCCAACTAGATGTTTGACCTTTTGATCTGTGTATCTGTCAACCCACTCTGCAATAAGAATTTTAATCTAAATTTCTAACCAAAAGGACAGCTGTCTTGGCAAGGGGAAAGAAAAAGAAAATGGACAGCACTTCCCCTCTGTAGATTAAAAATGTTATTCTGAAATCCTAACGCACATTGATTTCATAACATAAATGCTCAGTAGCCAAAGCAATCCATAAAAAAATTATGTTACCAATATTGGAGGGCTCTTCAACAACCTGCTTCTCTCATGGTGAAATGTTTTTCTTTTTTACAGTCTATCTGTACTGATAGTATGGAGACTTCTTGGTGATGTATTGTGCCCCACCATGTAGAAATTGTTGGGGAAAAATAAATTAAATGAAGGCTCACATTTTTTGAGAAAAAAAAAATCATAAATGCTACTTGATCCTAGTACAGAAGCAGAGGGGGAAGCAGGCAATTCCCTGTTGTGCACATCTTGTTAAGACGGGTTTCTTCCAAACAGAATATTATAGAGAGTTTGCTACCACAGGCTACTCTGTGCCTGAATATGCCCCTTTAAATTCTTCAGCTTCTTGGAGACTCTCTGAGCAACATTATCAAAAACCCCTTTTCCTTTAACTTAAGATTATAAAAAGACACCCAAGGCAGCTTTGCCCAAAGGACCTTCCTTCCCTCCCAAAAACCTTTATGTAAGATATCCCAGGAAGAGATATATTACAGAAAATTTACTAAATTAACCTTCTAGATCAGACATGTCAAACACAAGGCCTGCAGGCTGGATTCAGCCCACCATGTGGTTCTGTCTGGCCCGGGGACCTGCTCTGAAAACAGCGGACCAGCTCACGGTACCTCGGCCCAGCCCAGACAGACTGGGCACTGATCTACAACCTGGTGCCAGCCATCAAAGCCAGAACATGCTCAGCTTAGATCCATGGGACAGCCCTGGAACCAGCGACGGGCACCCTTGGCCTACCTGCTGGGCGCGCGTGCAAGCAGAGTCCAGCATCCCTGCTGGCTGTCTTGCCCCACAGGCTAACTTCACCCAGGACGCCGGTGCTGGCCATCTCCTGTGCGCACACCCAGGGGGCGGGGCAGAGGCGGTAGGGCAGCTCCTTGCTGTCCCATGGATCTAAGGCTGAGCAAGTTCTGGCTTTGAGGGACACAACCAGGTTGTAGATTAGTATCACCACCACCCTCCCACCAGCATCTCCATGGCCCCCTCGCTGACCTAGCCTTGCAGCCACAAGGCTTCCCTTTCACCAGGACCGGCCCCGCCTGTGTGGGATAGCAATGGCCAGCTGCAGCATGGACACTGGCAGCGCTGGCAATCTCTCCCCCTTCCATCACCCCTTCCTGAGCACAGAGGAAGGAAAGAGATGAAAAGGAAGGGATGGAGGGAGGGAGGGAGGGAGGGAGAGAGAGGGAGGGAGGGAAGAAGGAAGGAACGGAGGGAGGGAGGGATGGAGGAGGAAGGAAGGAAGGAAGGAAGGAAGGAAGGAAGGAAGGAAGGAAGGAAGGAAGGAAGGAAGGAAGGAAGGAAGGAAGGAAGGAAGGAAGGAAGGAAAGGAAACTTGGTTGAAGATGCCCCAGTTCACGCAGTTCTGCTTCAATCTTGGATCCATTGAGACTTGGGCTCAAAGGAGAAAGAAAACAATTTTGTGTTCTCTTTTGTCACAAACAGGACTTTATTGGCAATCCAAGTTAACACTGGTATTCTTGAATTGTGAACGTATCCTCCCCTTGTATGTTGCAAACAGCATTTCCAGCGGGGAAAACAGGACAAAGCATAGTGGGGGAAAATATTTTTCTTTGCTATATTTCCAGTCTGAATTAGACCATGAGCAACTTAGCCAAGGAGAGCGAGCCAATCAGCAGCAGCCTTGAGGAGGAGATAAGTGCAGCCGGGCACCCCCTTAGGAAAGTCTGGATTGGGCACTTGCCCTCCACTGCCAGGGCTTTGGGCAGCCTGCATCATGGGGGTCCTCTGCATGGCCTGAGAGAGACAGCAAGGCTCCTCTGGTGGACAAGGCTATAGTGCTCGCCCTGGTCTCGCCCTCCTCGGCTGGAGAAAATGGATCCCTCCCAGCCCTGCCTGGGCCACCACAGGCACCCCCCCTCCCGACACGAGCAATGTTGAGGTGGCCATGCCCACCCCAGCCATGCCCACCCTGACTCTCAATCACAACTCTTATGTGGCCCTCAATGAAATCGAGTTTGACACCCCTGTTCTAGATGCTCTCAGTGGAAAGAATTGAATATGTCAAATTTTAAACATTTCCACAATACTTTTCCCAAAAGATTGGCAATGGAAAAATTAAAGGAATATGTTTTCATGTCTGAATAAACACCCCAACTGAGATAGAAAGCTTTAATCATTATAGTAGAGTTCGGCAAACATTTATTGATTATAGTACTAATATTGAGGGAGGGAGGGAGGGAGGGAGGGAGGGAGGGAGGGAGGGAGGGAGGAAGGAAGGAAGGAAGGAAGGAAGGAAGGAAGGAAGGAAGGAAGGAAGGAAGGAAGGAAGGAAATGTTTTGATATTTATTAATCACTTTTGATTATTTGGATGTATATGTCATGTTGACAAGGTGAGAGTATACATTTTAAGACTGTTTTGAGACTGAAAGGGAAAAAATGGTAATTTTGTAACTCTCTAATCCTTTAAGACAGTGGTTCTCAACCTGTGGGTCAGGACCCCATTTGGGGTCGAACGACCATTTCACGGGGGTTGCCAAACAACGCAGTCCGCCATTTTTTTCCCTTTTCCTTAGCTGTGCTACTCCCTTTTATTCTATTGGCTTTTGAAAGCCAATAGAATAGACTCTCTTGAATAGAGTCTAATTCTATTGGCTTTCAAAAGCCAATAGGAATTGTCCAGGATGTCTCTGCCCTGCTGAGCCCACCAAAAGTCCCATTCTGCAAACGGTGCTGCAAGTTGTCTGCAGCGAAGGCGAGCTGTCTGGAAGTTTCCACCCCTCCCTGCTGAGCAACTACTAAAAATGTAAGTAAAAGAGGGCCAGGGGTGGGAGGTGGGAGGCCGGTGGGGGCAGGGCAGGTTGCTGGCGTGCATGGGGCCCGGCGGGTGCCTTACCTCCCTTGGGCTGGGCCAGTTGGTGGCCCAGCCAGTGGTCAGCCTGCGCCATCTCTGCCGCTTGCCAGCTACGCCTTGGCCGGCGCAGGGGGTGGTACCACACATGCGCGGCACTCCTGGGCAGGGAAAGTCCTCGACTTACGATCGGTTGGGTAGTCCTCGACTTACGACCGGTTGGGTAGTCCTCGACTTACGACCGGTTGGGGTCACGGCATTAAAAAGGTTGAGAACCACTGCTTTAAGATATATGATTATATTAAATTCATTGCCAAATGCTCAGGATAAAAAAAATGTGAGAAGAAAAAAAAGAATGGAAGGTAATGATTCACAGAATTCTAACTGAAATCAATGAAGTCAGTCTCACATAATTGTACTTTGTCTATTTGAATAGAGTTCTGGGTCTGCGCTGTTTGCAGAGGGATTGCTAAGAAAGAAAGCATTTGTAGTCTCTTGATTAGATGTCATTAGGCAGACGGGCAGTAGAAATAAAGCCTAATTTTTATGGGCATTGTAATGAACAGAGACTGGCTGTTATTTTGTCCAATGGTCTTCAGTTCTCATTTGAAATAACATTGTGCTGAACCTTCTGGTGCATTCTGCTTCATTTCTTATTTTAGTACTGTGCTCTATTGTGACTACTGCTATTGTGAAACTGCTTCTATGGTGCCAGAGCTCCATTTCACAGTAGTAACTACATGTGACATCCAATTCAAGCCATCATCAGAAGCTATAGCTAGACCAGTGGTTCTCAACCTGTGGGTCGGGACCCCATTTGGGGTCGAACGACCATTTCACGGGGATCGCCAAACAACGCAGTCCGCCATTTTTTCCCCCTTTTCCTTAGCTGTGCTACTCTATACTATTGGCTTTCCCTTAGCTGTGCTAGTCTATTCTATTGGCTTTTGAAAGCCAATAGAATAGACTCTCTTGAATAGAGTCTAATTCTATTGGCTTTCAAAAGCCAATAGGAATTGTCCAGGCTGTCTCTGCCCTGCTGAGCAAAGTCCCATTCTGCAAACGGTGCTGCACCAGTTGAGTAGTCCTCGACTTACGACCGATTGGGGTCACGGCATTAAAAAGGTTGAGAACCACTGAGCTAGACATTCAGCAATTTGTGGAGGTACAAATGTCAGGAGCTGCAGAGTTGCTATCTGGCTGCATATCTCATAGTATGAGGTCCAGACCCAGCTATATAAAAGCATGGCTATGGATGGCTAATGTAGCACTAACCCTTGAATGAGGTCTTCAAACCCTTACCTCAGGGGTAGGCAACTTTGGCTCTTTTACGACTCGTGGGCTTCAACTCCCAGAATTCCTGAACCAGCTATGCTGACTCAGGAATTTTGGAAGTTGAAATCCACGAGTCATAGAAGAGCCAAGGTTGCCTACCCCTGCCCTAGCTCATAGGGTACATGGAATGGGCGGGATAATGTGTATCTGTCCCTCAACACTGTATAAGGTTCTGGGACTTCCCAGGTTTGTGCACAAATAACTATAGATAATTACTTCTTCTGGTGCTGAAATCACTTTTATTATTCCTTCTGTACAATGGTAGGCATGGGTCATCATCCAAAGCGGAAGGGGGGAAGGAGAGGAAAGGAATTAAATAATTCATTGCTCCAAAAGCTAAACTGAGGACGAGATTGATTGTCTGTCTAAGCTCAGGAGTGCTCATTATTTAAGGATGATCTCAGAAACTTTGTTTTGTTTCCAGGTTGGCTGCTGAAATCCATTTTCTTGAAGTTGATTCTGGCCACAGGAGGGTTAATTTTTACTTGAAGCAACTGCTCCGTGATTCCAGCCTGATTATATCACATCACATCCCCAAATTCTGCCTAGAAGAGAACCCACAGTTAATCCATCAAACGTGAATGAATCCAGAGTTTTCAATCACAGTTAAGCTAGACTTTTTTCATTATCTTTTCCTAGAATAAGAGAAAGCAATATAAAAAAATTCAAAAGTACTTTTTTGATAGCTTGTTGACAGAGTCACTATGACTCTGAGAAACTCTTCATAATGCTACAGAGAGACATCTAAATGAAACAGTTCTCCCTGCATTCATTCTTCAGATGATCCACAATCCAATATTCATCAACTGTTCTTTGCCACACATTATTTCATAATTTTGGCCTTAAAAAGGCATTAGGAATCACTAGTTTATTGCTAAATCTGATCAATTGCTTTATTATAAAAATTACTCTTTCTTAAACTCACCTAATCCCTTCTTGAAAACTTGAAAGAATTATCCAAGTAATGGTGTAGCATATTAAGTAGGTTTCCAACTAACTTCATCATATTCTTCTCCATTAGATGGAGATATCTTCTATTTCTACTTAAATATAGCTATTATTTCAATTAGGGTATGCAAAATATGCATTTATGTGAGTACGTGTGCCTTCTTTTATCTTCAATTCTGGTGCCTGCCCTACCTGAAACTGTGAGCTTCAATTTTTTCACATTTATCAAAAGCCTGAAACCCTGTGGAATGAGACTATTCAGAGAGAATATTTGTTTTTAAGGCACATTAATGTAAAACCTGATAGAATACATTCAGGCTATGGAAGGAACATAAGGAAATAGCAAAGGCCAAATATAGGGAGGAGGGGAAGCTTGTTCCCATTTTATATTTTGAAAGCCTTGGGTCTGTTGTTATGCTATCTAGGTATGTTGGCTAGCTTGGCTAAAGATGAACATGGGTTAGAGCAGTGGTTCTCAACCTTTCTAATGCCGCAACCCCATAATACAGTTCCCCATGTTGTGGTGACCCCCAACCACTTATGCATTACTGGGTGCCAGGGGCGTGGCCAAAGAAAAGGGGGGAAAAATGGTGGACAGCCTTGTTTGGCGACCCCCGTGAAATGGTCATTCGACCCCAAATGGGGTCCCGACCCACAGGTTGAGAACCACTGGGTTAGAGAGATGTTTTCAGAGACAGCACAACCAAACAAGAACAGAACAAGAAATTTGCTAATATGAGATGCTTGAGCAAGCTGACAATTTATAATTAAATGCAAACTGGCTGACTACTACTAGAGATAAAGTTGTTATATCTACCATAAACAAGGCTGGACAAGCATAATTCAAGGGTTACATGCGAGTCCCAAATTCCTTTTCTTGGAGTCTGAAACACACTCACCTGCACAATATTTCTGCCACCAACATTTTGTTGAGCTAAGCAGTCCTACATATCCAGGGAAGGGTTAATTGTAGCAGATACTACAATTAGTATTGCCTTGTTAATAGATATGATTTAAGCAGTTGCTTGGTGGTTGTGAGATTCTGGAGGATTCCTTTAACCTTCACCTTTTCTATAACCCTTTATTACTGTTCCTTTACTTTTCTTTCATAGAATGTGTTTCATTTGCTGCTCTGGTTATTTTCTTTCTGCTAGCTAGTGTTGAAGGAAAAGTCTTCATCATGGTTCAGTCCAAGCCAGGAATAAACAACATGGCAACTGCTTTAGAAAGAAGGTTGCAGTTTATTAGAGAGGAGAGCCAGACAGAAAGATGGCCCTGGAAGAAAAGAGAGCGAGCACATGTAGGGAGTGGGTTTTTATACCTTCTTGAGCTTTTTATTTGGAATTGTTCCTATGGTATAAATTTGATCTGAGTCTGAGTGTGCCTTTCTGGTATTCTGATGGTGGTAGGTTAATCCTATTATGTCTCAAGGGTCATATCCTGCTTCCCTGGGGCTGTGGCTGATGACTCTTAGATTTTTGGTGTTGATTCTAGGGATCTTTCTTCCTAATCCTAGTTTCCTGATTCCAGTCTTTCTGACAAGTTTATCATCTGCAATTCTACAGACTTGGTTTCTGCTTGGGACAGAGAGACTTGGGGGCAGGGTTGGTTTCTGCTTTTAAAATCCTTTAGGGAAATATATTCTGCCCTTTTAATATTTCCTTCTCTGGGGGGCTGACTTCCCACACTAGCTTATAGGTAAAGTTTAGCAGCCCTGACCTTACTGGCTAAAATAGGGGCAGGAAGTGTTCCAGGATCATTACATACTTTCCCCTTTCCTGCCTCATCACTTCCTGTTACAAAGCATTGAGGGGAAAGAGAAGGGAAGTAAGGCCCTTCCAGCCTCTATCTTCCATTCAGAGAAGCCACTCACAGGGCTTCAGCTGCAATCTTGATCTATCTGGAGATACTACAGGTGAGCAGCGTATCCTCCTTACACACCAGTTACATTTTTTGGCCTAGAGCAGGGGTGTCAAACTGCCAGCCCGCAGGCTGGATGCGTCATGCCGAAACCGCGCCCACTTCATTGCTGGCAATGGAAAAAAAGACGTGATACGTTGCGACATGTCACGTGACATTACGAGTTTCACACCCCTGGTCTAGAGTATAAGTAAGTCACTTAGGTTATACTTAGGAGCACATGGTTTCCTTTATGGAGCATGGGTCTAGTTGTTATTCATGTTGTAATCATATACTATTGCTTGTTTTTTTGTTTTTTTTTTACAGATTTACCAGAACTTGCAGCATTCAATAAAGATTAGATGGTTAAATGCTGTCTCCTTTGTTGAATGGCAAGAAAGGCTAACTGCTTGGGTGGCTTTCCATAGAGCCACAAGGTTATGGATGAGCGAGTCCAGGACAGAATGATCACACAGAATCATGTTCTTTCCCTCCTGTTTCTTAGTGAACATCAGCATCATCTGAACTGTAATTACAGGTTTGTATATGAGGATAATGTAATTCTTTAAGTGGGGCAATTGCCTTGAGAAGGGAGGGAAGAGAGAAATGAGGATAAAAAGCTGAACTGAAGCCATTTAAAACACTGATCACAAGGCTGTCCAATAATTTCCCAATCACACCTTTAGCTGCATAGAATAATTCATACCACATAACACAGTTTACAGTGGTGGACTGAAAAATGCACATTTAATTGCTGACTTTAAGTAAGAAACCAAGAAAAGTAGAAGACTTTAAAAATAAATCCAGCCCCCTCCTCCCAATTCTTAATTCCGTAAAGTTATATTGCCATTGTAGCATCCATGTTTGAATTTTGGTTATCTTACTACTGTACCCCAACTTTACAATTATATTTTCAAAGACACATATAGTAGCTGAAATGAATTCCCATCTAGCTCAACTTTGCCTCGTCAGACCTACAGTGGAGACCTCTTCTTTTGATGCTAGCATATCTAATTAAGTGAAGAAATTACTGTTCTCTCTGCTAAAGATCTTTTGACTAAATTAAGCCCTATGTAAATATGTGTGCATGCTTGCATGTGTAAGTAGGTAGGTAGATGGAAAGAAGGAAGGAAGGAGGGAAGGAATGAAGGAAGGAAGAGACAGAAAGAAAGAAAGAAAGAAAGAAAGAAAGAAAGAAAGAAAGAAAGAAAGAAAGAAAGAAAGAAAGAAGGAAGGAAGGAAGGAAGGAAGGAAGGAAGGAAGGAAGGAAGGAAGGAAGGAAGGAAGGAAGGAAGGAAGGAAAGAAGAGGAAATAATGATCTCAAGTTCTATATAATCCCATTTCAAAAATTCAGCTGTCTGCTTCCATTTGGAATTATAACTCTTCTACAGGTCTCTTCCAAGTGGCCATTTACAGACAGTTCCCTTTAATTTCTGTTCTTGCTTCACTACGTTTGCTGCTCTTTCATTCTGTCAGTTGAGATCACTGTTAGCAGTTTAACAAAATTTAAGTGAATTTCAGGTGAATGCTCAATTGTTGTTTACAGATTCCTTTGAGGCACAGAAATGGAGTTAGTTTTCCCATTCCATAGAGATGAAAAACCATTAGCAGCCATACCTGGAGTGGAAAATAAGAAATATTAAATCCTGAAGACAAGTGAAGACAATTTAAAGTGACAGATCCTGTGAATGAAGAATAAACGTATCATAAATTCCTTCAAAAACATATTGTACCCCAGAGATATGGATACACACACACCTGAGAGAAGTTGTCACAATGCAAATGGTTCATTTCATAAATAAAAAAATTTAAGTGCCCAGCTATACAACCTGTCACAACATAATCATTCAAACCAGTGAAAGGGATCGCTCTCCCATACATCAAAAACATTTCTAAGACAAGCAACTATCTACTACAATCTCTCATTATCACTGTAGCATACAAATCAACAAAATTACTCCAAAATATCTTAAATGAAGCCAAGACACAGTAACCAAATAATTAAAACCAGAAGTCATCTGGTTAAGATAAGGAATAAAATAGGCACTAGGTATATAGGACAGACAGGTAAAGACTGGTCAAATGCATTGACAAAAGTCAATTAGGAGCCAGAAGACATGACAAAAATTCACTAATCTCTCAACACATAGACAAATTCAACCACAATTTCAACTGGGAAACTCTTGATATTGTAGACCAGTGGCTCTCAACCTGTGGGTTGGGACCCCATTTGGGGTCGAACGACCATTTCACGGGGGTCGCCAAACAACGCAGTCTGCCATTTTTTCCCCCTTTTCCTTAGCTGTGCTATTCTCTTTTATTCTATTGGCTTTTGGAAGCCAATAGAATAGACTCTCTTGAATAGAGTCTAATTCTGTTGGCTTTCAAAAGCCAATAGGAATTGTCCAGGCTGTCTCTGCCCTGCTGAGCCTGCCTAAAGTCCCATTCTGCAAACAGTGCTGCACCAGTTGAGTAGTCCTCGACTTACGACCGGTTGGGGGTCGCGGCATTAAAAAGGTTGAAAACCACTGTTGTAGACCAAGCTGAATCCAAAAACTACAGAGAATTCTGGCAAGCTTGGCATTCAGACAAATCAGCCATCAAAAGACACATGGAGATAAGGCCTTTCCACATTTAAAGAACCAAAATCAAGGAATGAAACAACCAACTCAGAGCATATCCTTGTTGGCAGTCATCACCCACATAAGGAGAGAAGAGAACCAGATAACCACACCATAAGAAGAAACAATACCCAAATAAATGAACCATTAAGTAAATGTGTTTGTTAACAAAAGCTGCAGTTGTTACGCAACTACTGCTGTCATTAACTGAACCCATTGTTTGGTATAGAGCAGTTTTGCCCAAAATAACCGCCAGTTTCCAGCAAAAAACGTAAATCACAATCACTTGAGTACAGGACACTTTTTAAACTGGTATGCCTGAATTGAACTCAATACTCAAGGTGGGTTCTCACCAAAACTGAATTAAAAGGGACTTATTATTCACAGTAGTATTTAGAAGTTGTTCTTGTGTTTGAGGAAAGCTAAAAATGCATTTTTGTAGCCACCTCATCCTGCAAGCTCATATTCAGTCTGCAGTCAATTTGTCTTTTTCATTATCATCAGGCATCATCAGCCTATAGCTGTGCATTTGGTTTTTGTTTGTTCAGTGAAGGACTTTGTACTTCTTTTCTTAAATTTCATTCTGCTTACTTTCAACTCATTCCATTAACCAGACTTTTTCCAGCTGGGGTTCTGTAGTATAAGAGGTCTTTAGGAGTTGAGCAAGAGATCATGATTTAAAACATTTTTTTTAAAAAAAGTGCATATTGTACAATGCTAGCACTCACAGTGGTGGGAATTTTTATGTGTCGAGACTTAGCTATCTGTCTGCCACATTGCTCTTGTAAATATTTTAAACATGGATCAGGCACACTGGAAGTGAATTGTATTGTATGGTTTTTGCATTTATGCAGAGATTCCCTATTAATGTTTTGAATTTTATTTTAATCTTTTACATATCAGCTCTTTTGTGCAATTTTGTATCGCCTACAAGGTTAATAATTCCCTCTATTCATCCACAACATTTATAAAAATATTGAAGAGAAGTCCCATGGCTCATTGTCATTTGGGGAGGAAGCATTAATGTACATATTTCAGTATGATTCTTAAGCCAACTGTGCAATTATATTTGTCATGTCTAATCCATATGGTGAAAAATTCAATGGTGAAAAAAGCAAGGTTCTACATTTAGGCAAGAAAAACCAAATGCACAAGTACAGCATAGGTGGCACCTTGCTCAATAGTAGTAACTGTGAGAGGGACCTTGGAGTCCTAGTGGACAATCACCTAAATATGAGCCAGCAGTGTGCTGCAGCTGCCAAAAAGGCCAACACAGTGCTAGGCTGCATTAACAGAGGGATAGAATCAAGATCATGTGAAGTATTAATACCACTCTTACAATGCCTTGGTAAGGCCACACTTGGAATACTGCATCCAGTTTTGGTCACCACGATGTAAAAAAGATGTTGAGACTCTAGAAAGAGTACAGAGAAGAGCAACAAAGATGATTAGGGGACTGGAGGCTAAAACATATAAGGAACGGTTGCTGAAATTGGGTATGTCTAGTTTAACGAAGAGAAGGACGAGGGGGGACATGATAGCAGTGTTCCAATATCTCAGGGGCTGCCATAAAGAAGAGGGAATCAAGCTATTTTCCAAAGTGCCTGAAGGCAGGACAAGAAGCAACGGGTGGAAATTAATCAACAAGAGAAGCAACCTAGAACTAAGGAAAATCTTCCTGACAGTGAGAACAATTAATCAGTGGAACAACCTGCCTCCAGAAGTGTCAATGCTCCAACACTGCTTAAATGGTATTTATTGGACTAGATCTCCAAGATCGATCACAGTCAGCCAGATGTTCAGACTGGATTTGGCATTTTGTCTACCTATCGAGTCCTTACCCAGGACCTGGGATAGGCAGATGTGGATGTTTGATGGTATTACAGATATCGTCGCAGGATGGAAGCAGTTCCTAATAAGGCCGCCTTTTGCAATTGACTAATAGCGAATTTGTCAATGCCAATGGTGTTCAAGTGGTGCTCCAGTTGTTTTGGGATTGCACCCAAGGAGCCTATGACTATTGGTACTACCCTTGCTTGCTTTTGCCACAGTCTTTCTATTTCTATTTGTAGGTCTTTGTATTTTGTTATCTTCTCCAGTTCTTTCTCTTCTATTCTGCTATCTCCAGGCACTGCCACGTCCACTATCCAGACTTTTTTGTCTTTCTTATCGACAATTGTTAAGTCTGGGGTGTTATGTTGCAGGTGCTTGTCTGTTTGAATTCTGAAGTCCCAGAGCAGTTTAATTTTATCATTTTCTATGACTTTCTCTATTTTATGATCCCACCAGTTTTTGCTTACAGGCAAATGATATTTTTTGCAGATCTTCCAATGCACCATTGTTGCTACTTTGTCATGCCGCTGCTTGTAATCAGTCTGTGCAATCTTCTTGCAACAGCTTACCAAGTGGTCCACTGTTTCTTCAGCTTCTTTGCATAGGCGGCACTTACTGTCTGTTGCTGTCTTCTCAATTTTGACTTTATATGCATTTGTCCTTAAGGCTTGGTCTTGTGCAGCCAGAATTAGTCCCTCGGTCTCTTTCTTCAATTTTCCTGCTCTTAGCCATTGCCAGGTTTTATTATTATCTGCTTTCCCAGCTATTTTTTTCATGTATTGGCCATGTAGTGCTTTGTCTTCCCATGCCTCTATTCTGTTCTTCATTTGGTCTTTCTTGTAGGCCAGTTTGGTCTCTCCAGTAGTTAGTAAGCCTTCCTGATATACTAATTTCAGTGCATCTTCATCATTGTTCTTCAGATATTCTTCCAAAGCCATTTTTTCTTCTTCAACCATCTGATGTACTTGTAGCATTCCACGCCCACCTATTTGCCTTGGTAGATAAAGTCTATCAATGTCACTGCGTGGATGAAGGGCATGATTCATTGTCATTATTTTTCTGGTCTGCCTATCCATTGCTTTTAGTTCTGCTTGAGTCCAGTCCACTATTCCAGCTGTGTACCTAATGACTGGGATTGCCCAGGTGTTGATTGCCTTTATGGTATTTCCTCCATTGAGTTTGGATTTTAAGATCTTCTTCACTCTCTTCATGTATTCACCTCTAATCTTTTTCTTGACTTCAGTGTGCTTGATGTTGTCAGCTTGAAGGATACCCAAGTATTTGTAGTACTCTTCCTCATCCAGACTCTTAATGTTATTTTCGTGGGGCATCTTGATTCCTTCAGTTTTCATTATTTTTCCTTGTTTGATAGTAAGTGTGGCACATTTGTCCAAGCCAAACTCCATTACAATATCTTGGCTATATATACGGACAGTGTTGAGCAGCAATTCTATTTCAGATGATGTTTTTCCATACAGCTTCAGATCATCCATGTAAAGGAGGTGGGATAGTCTGGCAGATGTTTTTGATGTTTGATAGCCATGTCCTGAGTTATTCAGTATTGTTGAAAGAGGAAACAGTGCAATAACAACAGTAATGGTGATAATGATCTCCTTGAAATATTCCTCTCTTGATATTAACCTCTCCCAGCCTCTCACCATTGATCTGCAACTGTGTCTTCCATTGTGCCATCGATCTTTGCACAAATTTTCTGATGTTTCTTTATTATTATTATTATTATTATTATTATTATTATTATTATTATTATTTTAACTGGTTAAATAATCGGCATGCCATGGGTTATTTTGTCAAATTTGCTGAAGTCAAGACACATTAGGCTACAACATCATTCCCACAATCTATTAAGGAACTTGCTCAGTTAACAAAGACAATACGGTTACACGGACAAGCTTTGTTCTTAAAAATCCCTGCTTCTTCTGATATTTGCCATGCTACTTTTAAGGATGTGCAAGCAGGGTTATGATCTGTTCTAAAAATTTTCCCAGATTTCTGTGTCTGACTAGTTGATAGTTTGCTGGATCTGTTTTTTTTCCTTTTGTAAAAAATAGATTTGCGTTCCTACATCATTTCCTCCAGCCTATGGTTCATCATATGCTAGAGCCTCAATTGGATTATGGTATTATAGCTGTTCAGATTGCTTTTTTGTTGCTTTATTGTTTCATCATTCTTTGTAGGTATATGCAGGGGGGGAGGTTGTCACAGGACGCCCAGAATGGAGTTCTGGCACCTTTTTTGGATGGATCCTTGTAGGATAGGCAAGGCGGGTTATATAACATGTGTGAGTTCTGGCACTTTTTTTTTTTTTTTTTACAAAAAAAGCACTGGGTATATGTATTATATTTTGGTATTTGTTTTTCTTCTTTTGTGCAGCTATATAAATGTTTAATAAAAACAAAATGAAATAATTAAAATCTGGCAGTTCATCAGTTCTCCAGGATTTCTGAAAAATATAATACATAAGAATTCAGAGAAACCACCTGCTAATTCTTGAATAACATAGGCTGCGGTTCATCTGCTCCTAGAGATTTAGCCTCGTTTTAAAGGGGGGGGGGTTCATTATGTTTCTATCCATCTCAAATTTCAATCCTGCCGTCTTTTTTATTTATTTGTTACTTGTTGTAGATTGTTGTTAGGCACCTGAGGTTGTTATTTAAGCTGTGGAGAAACCTGGATTCAACAAACTATCATCCCAAGAATTTTCTTTTTTTTCTTCTATATTTACATTCTTATACAGATGATACTTGCATGCTAAATGTTTGCGTCTACTCGGGGTAATTACTGTAGAAACCTACAGCTGAAACATTTCTTTGAATTTTTAATTTTAAACGCGAGTACGTGAGAGCAATGATTTATTTTATTATTTATATTCTCTCTGTACTTTTACAAATAATTCAAGGTGGCAAAAACACACAATACTCCTTCCTCCCTCTCTTTTCCCTACAACAACAATCCTGTGAAGTGAGTTGGGCCGAGAGTGCCCAGTTTTCATGGCTGAGGCAAGGCTAGAATTCATGGTCTCCCACTTTCTAGCCTTGTGCCTTAACCACCAGTCCAATTCGATGGAATTGGACTGGTGGTTAAGGCACAAGGCTAGAAAGTGGAATCCTAATTTCAGATATTATTGGGGGCAATCCATCATTATTGAGAAAAGTGCCTCTAGAGAGGCTCCAGGATGGCAAGAAACTTTCAGTACCAGGTCTCTAGCAAACTCACAAGGTCAATTTCACACGGTCGTTGAAAACCCATTGGAGGCAGCAGCAGCAGTGCTTAATCTACCTTCATTCCTTGTTCATCTGAACTTCTAATTATCCAGATGTATTGGATCTTCTCCAAGCTGTTTCGTTCCCAGTGAGTGTACTATTAATCTTTTTCTAAAGGCTGATCTTACTCTTAAGTGTGACAATGATGCAGCGAGCCAATTTGGGGGGAAAATACAACAGACTTTGAAGATGTTTATTTAAAAGAAAGAAAAAAAGCACACCGCATACCTGCAGAAGTTACCTTAAACTCCCTAGACACGTCCACGCATCAGGATGACAGGTTGAATTAACTCACCTGTCTTAGAGCAAATGTCAGGCTTACATGGCAGTAATGGCATGCTCTTGGTTGCTAATAGCTACACAATTGGATCAACAGTATAATGCAATCAGTAATTCACAAGGTGTTTGTCAAACCAAAAGAGGGGTCGCACAATTCCCAAATGTAGTTACAGCAAAATTGCAAGGACAATTAGACTGCTTGAAAGGCAAGTAGAAATAGGTTCTATCTACTGATAGTGTCCTGTCATGAATTTAGAAACCTCAAAGGAAAAGGCCAATGTTCTAACTGCTCACACACTTTTATCTATTCCTGCAGGCAAGAAAACCTGTCCATCATGCAAGGGCCTTTCGGTAGCAGCTGAGCCCTCTGCTTCTTTCTCTCACTTTCAGATAAATGTCAGAAGCCATATGGCTTAGACACATGTCTTGGTCATGTTTGCTGGTGTATTTTTGATCCTTTAGTACAAGATTATTATAACCTCCCTGAAACTAAGGTAATTTTATAAATCCAGAAACGACATCCACTAACTGTTTAAAAAATGGACCACAATTCACTAAAATGACAATTTTTGGATGTGTGGGAAATTCTTGGAGTTTTCCTTAGAGACCATCAGGAGAAGATCAGGAATGAGGAACATGTTTTAGCACGTGCCAGCTGAGCAGGCCCACAGCAGTCAACCTTTTCACTGAAACAGTAGCCACAGGATAGAGGTTGTGCTTCATCAACATAACAAAAGATTATGGGAAAGCTACAGATAAAGCAGGTATGTGGAAAGGCACTCTAGAACAGGGGTTTCAAGACCATTGAGCCTGTTCATTAAAAAAAACTTGGAATTTCTAATTGTGAGGCAAAGTTCTAGTGGTAGAAAACTAGCTCCATTTAAGTGGACTTCCACCCCCCAGTCTCTAATGGAACCCCATAATGTTCTCATAGATTTTGGGGAACTCAGCTGAAAGAACATCTCTGGACAATGCACCTCCATATTTCAGAAACTTCTTTTCTCATTTATAAAAGCTGATAAATACCTGTCAATTTACAAAAGTGGTGGGGATGGGGGAGAGATTAGAACTGTGGTCCCCAACATTTGCAGCTTGGCCCAACTTGGGAGGGGGAATAGGGGAACTTGCCTGCATGAGTGTCAGGCTAGTGTGCACACAGCTTGACTCACATGAACATCAGGGTCACACGTGCATCGAGCTCGCATGTGCTTGCAGGACCACACCAGCCCACCACTCACACGAGTTGAGCTGCACATGCACCCAAGGCATATTGGCCTGACATGCAGCCCAGTTGGAATATAGACAGTGGTCTGGTAGTGGGTTGCGACCCCTGGATTAGAATATTATGCTTAGTTTCTCTACTTTTGCAATCTCCTTATTCTTCTTTCAATTTATAAGATAAATTGAGATTGCTAATGTTCTTAATAAATGTACAGGTACTTGATGTTTGCAGCTTCTCTGTACCCTCTGCATGTGACCTGTTTTGCATTAACATCAAGCTTTGCCATCTTGAGACGTCTCTTTCTATCAAGAGACTTTGGTTTCAGCCTAGATTCTTCTCTAAAGTATTGTTGAAGGAAAAATCTTAATCCTGGTTCAGTCCAAGCCGGGGATAAACAACATGGCGACTGCTTTAGAAAGAAGGTTGCAGTTTATTGAAGAGGAGAGCCAGACAGGAAGATGACTCTGGAAGAAAAGAGAGAGAGAAAAGGGGTGAGCACATGTAGGGAGTGGGTTTTTATACCCTCTGGAGCCTTTTGTTTGGAGTTGCTTCCTGTTCCTGTCTTGAGGCTTTGTATTTCCTGTGTCATGTATTTTGACCTGTCTCTGAGTATGCCCTTTGGCATCTGTGGGTTAATCCTATTATTTCCTGTCTTAGAGTTTGGATGGGGTATGTAGATTTTAGGTGTCTTTTTCTTCTTAATCTTCTAGCTGGGGGCCTCCATCTGCATTTCTACGAGCTGGTTTCTGCTTGGGGAAGGGAGACCTGGGGCTACTAAGAAAACTGGGCATGCTTTTCTGCCTCTTCAGGATCCTTTGAGGAAATATATTTTTCTGCCTTTTTAATATTTCCTTCTCTGGGGAGCCGACTTCCCACAGTATATTATTTTAAAATGTTACCCCTGCAAATGCTGAGAAGTAGAATTTAAAGCCTTCCATCTTGAGAGAATGCAGGAGTAGAAACCTAGCACCTGGCTGTCTATAACTCTTTAAAACAGCCACATCTTTTCCTGAGGTCATGTGGCTGTGCCTCTGGAACTATGCTTGCACCCCTGTGAGTACTCCAAAGCACCCTTTTTGGAACTGAAGCTGGGGCACGGCATGGCTTTAATTTTCATTCACACTTTTATCAAAACACATTCTGCAGTTAACAAGATATTGGGTAATTAATATTTTATCATACTTTCTATAAACTTTGGGAACACAAATTTATTTTTGAGTAGAAGCAAGAAGAAATATTTTTTTTACATCTGCACAACAGACTGTGTCAATATTTACAATCCTCTTTTCATTTAGCTTTCTTTCCAATTGTCTTGGGATCCCAGCAACACAGATACTCCAACATAAAACAACTGAAATGTATTCTTGTGATGTTGAAATTAGAGATAGGAAATGTCAATAGCTTCTGAGATAGTCATGATTTCTTTGTAATAAGGAACAAACAGATTCTCTCATTCTTCCTGGAACGATCTCCAGTATCTTGAAAATCATTCAGTCAGCAACCAGGATGCCTGCTTTAAATGACCAATCACAAATAGAAAATCAGAAAAGTTCAGGAAGAAGAGAATAATGAACTCAGAGATCTCTGGAACACCTTTGCAAGGAATTGAGCATTTCTACTGTTCAACTGCACATTTTTTCCTCTCAGGATTCAAACTGGCTTCCATCACTTTTTCCTCTGGACAACATTTGCAAATTGACAAAGATCCAATTCACACATTATGTTAAACCAAGTTTGCTTAAACAGCTTTGATTAAATAAACTATCAATGTCTCTTTTTGCACAACATGCCCTCCATAAGCCAGGATTTACAAATCACAATTGTTGGATTCATACAACCCAGAAAATTGTATTATGATAGTACTGAGCCACGATCCCAAGCTAACTCTTTTATTAGAGCATCACAGTTTCTGAATTGCCCAAATATTACGTCAATGTACACCTATAACATGCAGCTTACTGTACAGTTTAGTATAAATGGAAAACTATAATTGGTAAAGGGCAGAAAAATGGCTTGAAGCAATTCTACACACAAGTTGTCCATGGGAGGGCAGGGGAGAGGGGGGGAAGTGATGAAAGCAATGTCATGCATCATGATAGTGCACAGATATACATGTGATGAAGCATGTAGCATGATAGCCCAATCTGCTTTTTTTTTACTTAAAGCCTTCAGACATCCCTGCCCCCATCTACTTACTACTAAAACTCTTGTGTTTTATTTATCTGTCTGTAACCTTCAAATGAGTGATATGGTGGATCATCAATTTTTGAACCAAGTTACCTCAAATGGGCTCACTGAAAAAAATGTGCCCCAAATCCAGGACCCATCCCTCCCACTCCCACTGCTTTTTTTGCCCACTGTGGTCATTTGTTGCTCTGTTTAGGTAAGTAAGTCAATATCTCTAAAATGATGATGCAATTGTAATGATGACTCAAAGTCACAACTTGTGTAGCATTTCACAAATGTTTATATCTATATCCATTGTAGAGCAAAATTGCATTACCACCGTCTGTAATGCAGTTAATTTTGAGAAAGTGGCATTACAAGTACAGATAGATGTGGGAGAAAGGGCATTTCATCCACCCTTTGAAATTTTCAGCCAGTGGGCTGGGCGCAGCAGGGATGGGGTGGGGGGTGGTTTTTGGGCACTCGGTCTCTAAAAGGTTCGCCATCACTGTACTAGATTTTAAACGTGTGTGTTTGTGTAGGATGATATTCAAATTAATCAGTTTGGTTCCTTTGAGTTATTACTATTGTCTTTAAATACATGCTTGAAATTCTGATTGCAAGATAGTGGGGCAACTTTCAAATTGTATTTGTCTTTCTGTCTCATTTACGTCTTTTTTAAGAATCTTAACAGAGGATATAAATCTGAATTCTTCACTCTCCCCTGCCTTTCTTGAATAATATATTCAAAATATATAATTTTCATGGTTTAATGGAAGAATGAAAGCATTTCTGGCTTTCTGACCTCATTTACTGACAGTACAATAAATAATTCAGTCATCTTTGAGAGGATGCGTGCTTTCACTCTCTATATCAGACAGCATGTTCAGTGGGAATTCATTTCACAGAATTTATATTCCATATCTTCAAAAAATGTTTAGATTGAATCAATCGCTTTCTTTTAAAAGCCGGAACTTCTATCTTCAGAATTACAAGGGCTGGGACTACATATCACTGTTCCCTGTAACAGCATACCTAATACTAAACAGAAGAGTTGAACAAATGGATTTGAAGGGTGCCTCAGTAACACAGATTGAAGAAAATAGCTACCCAAAAGTGATTCAGGTCAATTGTATAGTTGGTGGGACACGCAAAAGGAAGTGAAGGAAGCAATCTGGTTTAAATAAATGTATATATTTTAAGTTCTTGCCTGGCACTTAAATGGTTAAATGCATCACTTTGAACACTTGCTTTTGACGATGCAGAATTTCACGAATGAAGGCAAATATACGTTGTTAAGATCCAATCTGGGTCGGTCACCAGGACCATAGGTTTTACTCTTCCAGAATTTCATTATAATGCTTACAAAGCACATTTAAAGTCAGTCAATGTTGTAAAACGTTCATGTATTAATATATACTGGTATTAAACAATATAACTGATGGAACAGCAAATAAGGAAATAAGCAACTTGCTTTTGTTTTTTTCCTGTTTTTAACCAGATGAAATTGACAAAGGTTCTGCAACCTTGCCCTTGTATTGATATGTAATTTCCTTCCTTCCTTCCTTCCTTCCTTCCTTCCTTCCTTCCTTCCTTCCTTCCTTCCTTCCTTCCTTCCTTCCTTCCTTCCCTTTTACTTTTTTCTAAATGCATCATGTGCTACATTATGTCATCCCATTTGTGTATTCTCTTTCATTGTCCCCTTTTAGAACTTCATTTGCCCTGGTCATTTCAAATTGTCCTTTTATATTTTGTTTCCCAAGCTATTGTATGATTTACCATCTATTTTGCTTTCATTGCATCATATGATTATATGATTACTTGTTTCTTGCTTTACAGCAGCCTGATCCTATTTGATAAGGACAGTCTAAAAAATAAGTTTCCAATTCAAAAGTGCATGGTTTATTTCAGTTGCCTGAAAACTTTTTTTTTCTCTTAAAAAGGAAACCATATCAATTTCTCTAGACAAGGCAAATTGTCTTGCATTTTTGTGCATTTCTGCACACGAAGAGAAAATAAAATCAATCAGAGCTTAAACCAGGTAGTCCTTAACTTACAACCATTTCTTTAATGATCGAAGCTACAGTGGCACTGAAAAAGTGACTTATGACCATTTTCCCACAGTTTAGACCAGTGTTTCCCAAACTTGACAATTTTAAGGCATGTGGACGTCAACTCCCAGAATTCCACAGCCAGCGTTGCTGGCTGTGGAATTCTGGGAGTTGAAGTCCTCATGCCTTAAAATTGTCAAGTTTGGGAAACACTGGTTTAGACCATTGCAGCATCCCCGTGATCACGTGATCAAAATTCAGATGCTTGGCAGCTGGTTCATATTTACGACAATTGCAGTATCCCGGAGTCATCTGATCCTCTTTTGTGATCTTCTGACAAGCAAAGTCAATGGGGAAGCCAGATTCATTTAATAGCTGTGTTACTAATTTAACTGCAGTGATTCACTTAACAACTGTGGCAAGAAACATCGTAAAATGGGGCAAAATTCACCTAACAATTGTCTCACTTAGCAATAGAAATTTGGGGCTCGCTTGTGGTCATAAGTCAAGGACTACCTCTATTAGGTCCATTTATTAGCCTTGTATTGTATCATTTGATGCACAATATGAATTTATAGTGGAATAGTTTTAATCGTTTCATTTTTATTTCCCCAGAATCGCAGAAAGCACTTGAGGTCAACCTGCATTTGTCCTCACCTGTGATGTCCTCATTACAGTTGAGCGTACCGTGTGAGCAATTAGCGTGCCCCTGGTTGACTGAAAAGAGGGGCAAACTCAGCCACTCTGCCTGCTCCAGGGCAGCACTTGGAGTCTATTCTGTTCTGACATTTAAAACTTCTGACCATCAACAATCAGGCTTACCTGCAAAGTTGCCAAAGGCCAAATCGCTAGCATAGATCAGGTCATTCTTCTCGAATCATTAAAACAGCAGAAATGAAAGCATCACGGTGTCAGATGCAGAACTCAGGAAACCTAGGCAGTTCAAATGAATATAAGGATTTATTGCAAGCTTAAGCTATCTACAAGAGACTGAACTACTAACAGTCAAAGCAAATTGGCGGTAGATAAGAGTCAACGGAATTCAAGGTGGGCTGGATGTCCATCCAGCAGATGTCAGTCCCTGTGATGGGGTAATTCAGCTGAAGCCTTTTGTGGGTGCGAAGGGACTCAAGACTTATGACGCATTTGACTCCTCCCTCAGGCGGAGCCTGATCGTCTTCTACACAAGCAATAGCATTTTCATCTCGGCAATGAGGGGAGTCATCCCTGACTCCAGCAGATGGGGTGAGGCAAGATCTCATCTGATGAGTCACTAACTTGCTCCCAAGTCCCATAGAGCTCCAGAGGTTCTGTTCAAAAATGGGACTTGAAGTGTTTCATGTGGAACCATAGCTAAGAGATGGTATCGTGGGTTGGGGGGATTAGTCTGGGAGCAGGGCTAACACCGAGTGGCAGCTTGGCAAAGGAAAAGTTCCATCCAAATTTGCCAAAGAGCAGGACACAAAGTATGCATAGAAAAAACCAAGTCTTCACTGGATGTTCAGTGCATGTAATTATCTTCAGGCCTCACCTGACCTCTACCCCATCTTGACAGATAAGCCCTACCATCCTTTTGCTGTCAGCCCTTGTGATGGGGTAATTCAGCTGAAGCCTGGCACCTTTGGTACTGACAGACTGTAACAACCAGCTGGCATTAAGATTTAATGAGCAAAATCTAACTCATGCCTACTGGATTAATTAAGTAACTGAATGTGATGAATTATAATGAAAATCCATCATTGAAAACACAGATTTCCTGCCTTCCAACCAAGAGCACAGCATAATATACTATTTTTCTCTGGGAGAAAGTTCAGCTGAAAAGAGACAATTATTTCTTTGAAATATTGCTGGAGGAAAGCAAAATGGAAAGCATCATTTCCCAGAGCTGAATGTCTTTTTTTTTTGCCACTGTTGATAGGATTTTATCATTTTTCAAAATAATACAATAATTGCTAGGAGAGAATCGGTAATGGGTATTTAAGAGTTCTTGAAACTTTGGGGAATGAAAATGTTCTGTTTTGGTCTGCATAGTCATTCGGGCAGAAAAACATTGTAACCTGCTTAATACCATGGGTCTTTAAATTGCCCAAATTTGATCACACAGATTGTTGATTTGTAGCAATATTCCTAATATCAGAGTATTATATACTTGAATGACAAAGAGCAGTGCGGTGGCCTAGACATGAAGACACTCCCTCACAAAGAAAAAATATCTGCTGCAAGCTCCTCATAGATGTCAGGAAGGGCACCTGGCCAGTAAATGCTCAGCTCTATTCAGTTACCCCCAACTCCATCCTGAAGCAAGAGATTACAGGATTGTAAAAAGAAATATATATATACTTGAATGACACAAAAAGACCTTCACATTCAGTTTGTAATTCTCAGGTCACTGACTTAGTAGCCTCCATAGGTAGCATTAGAAATGCTAGATGTAGCATTAAAAATTCAAATGTTTCACTAACGCTTCAGAAAAAGAAAACATCATCTCTAAGGATTGTGCTGAAGAATTATTAGTGACATTCACATCAGTCTAAAATACTCCATGAGGAACTAATATCCTGTATTACTATTTCAGGTATTAATGTTTTGATCAACAAGGTAACTTTTGAGCCCACATGTTGAAGAGAGTTTAGACACATATTTGAAAGAGAAATATGTTGCCTTGGGAAATACAGAAATAAAGCCCTTTTATGTCTTTTCTCCTCTCCAGTATTGTCTCATTGAAGTGGCTTTCATTGGCATTTGCTTTTCTCATTTTCATGTACAAGTGCAGCCCTGACTTCTGATTAATCAGGAATCCATTTTATCCACTTTCGCCCTCCAGCTTGTTATTGAACCTGCTCTGCACTTGAGAATATTAGAAGCTGCTCTGCAGGTTGGAAAAGAAATCTCCTTCTCTCTCTCTCTATTTATGATTTTTCCTCCTGTGGAAATACTTTAATTTGCACTATTCTCTTCCCGGCTGATATAATTTTCAAACATGGAGTAGGAAAAGAAAAACACCTAAGGCATCACAGTGAGGATCAATACTCCTGTTGATGAGAAACCTTACATCTAGGCATCTTAATGAATCTAAAATTTGAGTCTAGTTATATATTCTGGGTTCTCATTCAGGATACTTTCATTGCTGTCTAATATATGGTATGTAATCTAGCACTCCAGAGAGAGAAGTTTTGTCTTGTTGTCTATCAGAAATGAGTCTTGACGTATCAAATATCCCATGCAGTCTGATATGGTATAGTCTCAGAAGGATTACATTTGATTTGGATTCCTCAGAGCAAACCGCTCCCTGTTCTTTAATGGATATCATATAAGGTAAAATCTGCTCTGCACTTTTAGAATTGATTATTAGGTTTAAAATATCCCTCAGTGCATTAGATGGCATGAAATACCAGGGTTTAGTAAAAAAAAAAAAAAAAGAAGGTTGCAATTTGACCTGGCTTTGCCACTAAGGGCTTCATATGGAAAGAGGCCTCTTCTGTTTTCTGTAGGCCAGCTTAACCTGGAATGGAGCAAGTGGAAATCCAAAAGTTTAAAATGTGAGCAGTCCTCGGACTCATGAACTTCTCAGCACACGTCAACCATTTTAAGAAGAGGATTTCATGGGGAAAAATTGCAGCTATACAAATGTGCATTGGAAAAAGTATCCTGCTGCACTAATAAGATTGTAAAGCATTTCTACCAAAATGCTAGACTCATTTCTTTATTGAATCGATTTCCTTGAAAATGGAAATGTGTGACCAGTCTATCAGAAAAACCGCTTAATTTAACATGAGCACTTCACCTTATAGCTGATAGGCCTGGGATTCTCCATTTACTTTCCCACAGTTCTGTTTATTTAAGTGGTTTCTTTTCTGGCCTGGTTTTGGCTTCTCTATTACATCATGATTCCTTTTTGACCTCATCTCCTCCCTCCAGCAGGATGGCATTGCCTTAAAATCAAATATTGTCTGAATAAATATTGTTTTTTATCTCTCCTCCTGAGAGCTTTTCTCTGTCAGGTTTCTCTAATAGTGCTAACTGCAAGCTAACAAGCTCCACTCTGTGATCTTAAATTAGTTGATTAGTACCCTGGCTTGGGCTTCTGACTGAAATTGACAAGATCTTAATCAGTTACTGCTCAAGGCTTGTGCCTCCTAATCTGCTGTGGCACATACCTACCATTGAAAAAGCAGTCTTTCTGATTATGGAAAAAGTAATTTCATATATGCCTAAGAAGTACCTTTTTATTGAAAGTTCTTTTTATGTTTTGGAGTCCGCGGCATTGAAGCAAGAGACATGTTGTAAACAAATACTTCTTTATTCATTCCTCAGCTCAACTCAACTCAACAAGCAGGCACACAGGCCTTTTATAGTCTCCTAAGACCCCAGGCAGTCCAGCCAATAGGGAGGAACCTTTTTCGTGCCTTGCACATGCGCACAAGTCCAGCACCAGCCAATCTGGTCCCGGGCAGCTTTTCGGTGTGCCCGGGACCGTTTGCAACATTTCTGGGCCTGCTGAAATGCTTCAGCAGGCCCAGGACACAACAGTTCTCATTACAATTTTTGTCACAGAAAGTTAAACAGTTGATGGGGCCCATTGTCAGAGATGAGGACATCAGGAAGTCCATGTGTAGCGAAGATTCCTCTCAACACCTGGATGGTCCTAGCAGTAGTAGTGGAGGAGACAGGTACAACCTCTAGCCACTTGGAATGGCTATCCTAGACCAAGGGGTTTGTGTCTCTCCCACCTGTGTACAGGGGCCTGAGGCATTTCATGCCATGACTGTTGGCACACCTGGCACCTATGCACCTGGGCTTTATAGCTTTATCAAGCCCAGGCCACCAAAGATGGCTGCATGCAAGCGCTTTCATGCACACAATGCCCGGATGTCCCTCATGCAGAGAGAACAAGATTCTAGACCTCAGTGAGGCTGGGATAACTACTCTACTACCCCATAACAGGCATCCATTAAATGTAGACAGTTCGTGCCTCCTTTGCCAGAAGCTTTGAAACACAGCATCTGGACACGTGTCAGGCCATCCTGACAACACCCATGTCAGCACATATGTAAGCGTGTGATCAGTGGCTGTTTCTGCAGCCACGTCCCTAGCATTGAGGGGAGATTCAAGCAGTTCCTGAATAGAGAGAATATTAATAGCAGGTGCAGGATCCGCCTCTATTTGTGTGAGAGGTAGCCTACTGAGACCATCTGCATGGCCCATTTCTTTCCCAGGTTTGTGAATGAGCATGTAGTCAAATGCTGACAGGAAAATGGACCACCTCAGCATATGTGGGGATATGATGTGTGGGGTTTGTTTGGTCATTGTAAACAACCCCAGCAAAGGCTTGTGGTCTGTATAGACCATGAAATGATGGCCATATAAGAAATCATGGAATTTCTTTATGCCAGCCACTATGGCCAAGGCTTCTCTGTCAATCTGAGCGTAATTCCGCTCTGCAGATGACAGAGTCCTTGAGTAGTAAGCCACAGGGACTTGTGTCCCGTCAGCCTTCAGGTGACTGAGTACTGCACCCACCCCATAAGGGGATGCATCACAAGTGATGCACACAGGCAGTTGCTCGTTAAAATGTGCTAATACAGCATTTGATGAGAGCAAGGCCTTGACCTCTTTAAAACTCCTGTCATGGATCTTAGTCCACTGCCATGGAGCTTGCTTATCTAAGAGCCGGTGTAAAGGCTCAGCCATTGCAGCCTTATGGGGAAGAAAAGCATGATAGAAGTTGAGAAGTCCCAAGAAAGCCTGAAGCTCACTTTTAGACTTGGGACTTGGGGCCTCCTGAATGGCCTTCAGTTTGGATTCTGCAGGGTGGATACCTCAGCATCAATTTTAAAGCCTAAAAATTCTGTGGAAGTAACTGCAATTTTGCATTTGTCTTTTTTCAATTTGAGGTCCGCTTGGCGGAACCTTAGCATCACAGCCCGTAACCTCTCAGCCAAATTCTGTGATGACTCCTCTGCGATGAGGATGTCATCGAACTAGGGGCACACCCATGGAATACCCCTGAGCGTGAGCTCCATAATGCTCTGAAATATGCCAGGTGCAACATTCACCCCAAATTGTAAACTTTTTACCCTAAAAGCACCCCTATGGGTCATTATTGTTTGGATCTCAGCAGTTGCCTCATCAACAGGTAGCTGTTGATAGGCCTGTGCTAAATCAAGCTTTGCAAATAGCTTTCCCCCTTTGAGGGAGGCCAGAATATGACTCACTACCAGTACAGGATATGCATGCTGTTGCAAAGCTGTATTCAAAGTACATTTATAGTCCACGCAAATTTGGACTTCCCCATTAGTCTTTAAAGGTGTTACAATGGGGGTTTCCCATGGACTGGAGTCCACAGATTCTAAGATGCCCTGCTGGAGCAGCTTGTCCACCTCAGCATCAATCTTGCCCTTGAGGGTGAAGGGCATCCTCCTAGGCTTAATCCTAACCGGTGTGATGTTTGGGTCTAACCGCAGGGCAATGGGAGGCCCCTTATATGAACCAAGCTCTGAACTAAACACATCCACAAACTTTCTGCAGACTTCTGCAATTCCTGGAGTTTGCAGGCTGTGTAGGCCAGTTACCTGGATTCCCAGGGCCTCGAACCAATCGAGTCCAATTAGACTCGTACGATCACCCACAACAACCGCCACATCTAATAGGCCTTGGAAAGCCTTACACTGCACTTTGAGTGTGGCTTCTCCAAGTACATTAACCCTTGAATTTTGAAAGTCAGTTAGAATTAAGTTCGATGGCCTGAGTTTGACTTGAAGGCCACTACTGCTGCAAATCCTTTTAAAGGTATTGTGTGAAATGATCGATAGAGCGGACCCGGTGTCCAGCTCCATCGATAAGGGAACCCCTTGTAACTTCACATCAATGCGAAGTTTCTTTTTAAGGGACTTGTGTGTCCTGTCCGCAAAATACTTCTATGCGACACACAAAAACCCACCCTGTATTGGCTGGGGACCCTGTTACCTTTCTGAAGGAATTCTTCCCGAGGTTGCACCTGCTGGCGACCCAAACAAACTGTGACAATGTGGCCTTGCTTACCACATGCCCAGCAAATGGCAGAGCAGAACCGGCAGTCCGTGCACTTGTGGCATCCTCCACAACTGAGACACTGAAGGGCTGCTGGGGCCTTGTCTGGTTTCTCTCACAGCCTTCTTACTGCAGGCTAGTGAAGTCTGTCCACCAGGTCTGGAACTTCTTGAGCGATCTCTTGATGGACGGTCGCAACGGCTGGAGTGTTTCTGGCAAGCCACAAGGCCTTCACAGCGCCTCCTGATGCTTCTTCAGCTGCAACTTTGTGCAAGACATCTTAGAAAGTGACTTCAGCTTTAGCAAAGGTTTTTTGTTGCAGCTCTCTGCTTCTAAGGCCACAGACGAAGCGGTCTCGTAAGCGTTCTTCCAGGTCCTTGAATTCACAAGGCCTGGCAGCTTGTCTCAAGGTAGCGATGAATTCTGCAGCAGACTCACCCGGCTTCTGGTCCGTCTGCTCAAAAGCATGCCTCCATGCAATTACAGACAGTTTGGGATGGAAGTGATCCTTCAGCGTGTTTTTTAAGTCCGTGTAGGTGACAGATTCCAGCGATGCAGGGGCTACCAGGTTTTTGGCCACATCGAAGGTGTCCTGACCGCAGACACGCAGCAGGGTTGCCGCTTTCAGGCTGTCTTCCTGGACCTGGTTAACCCTTAGGTAATTTTCTACCCGGGCCACATAAGAGTTCCAGCGCTCTGGGTGAGAAACGTCGAATTCCGACAAGCGTTCTAGCTTCGACATCTTCAGCTTTGGAATGCCTCGCTGCAAGCCTTCATTGAGGAAAGGACCTGTTTGCCAAGCTCACCTCCAGCAATGCTGTACTGGCAGGTGAGTGCAGAGCTGGATGCCGACTTCCCAAGCTTCAGGCTCTTCAGATGAGGCTTACCCTCTTCTTATTGCCTTCTTCCTTGCAGCGATCTCACCTTCGTCGCCACTTTTATGTTTTGGAGTTAGCGGCATTGAAGCAAGAGACATGTTGTAAACAAGTACTTCTTTATTCGTTCCTCAACTCAATTCAACTCAGCAAGCAGGCACACAGGCCTTTTATAGTCTTCCAAAACCCCAGGCAGTCCAGCCAATAGGGAAGAACCTTTTTTGTGCCTTGCGCATGTGCACAAGTCCGGCACCAGCCAGTCTGGTCCCGGGCAGCTTTTCGGTTGCCCGGGACCATTTGCAACATTTCTGGGCCTGCTGAAATGCTTCAGCAGGCCCAGGACACAACAGTTCTCATTACAATTTTTGTCACAGAAAGTTAAACAGTTGATGTGTCCTCCTTGTCTCCCCATTTGTTCTCCTTCCCAGTTGTCTCTGTCCTCCTTTGCCTGTACAGATATCTGATAACCCTAAGGCAATGAGGATGATCAAAATCTAAAAGCTACAATGCTTTATCCCCAGGGGTCTCCAAACTTGGCAAGTTTAAGACTTGTGGACTTCAACACCAAGAATTCTCAGCCAACCATGCTGGCTAGGGAATTCTGGGAGTTGAAGTCTACAAGTCTTAAAAGTTACCAAGTTTGGAGACCCTTGCTTTATCCTAAGAAGAACAATGAGGGAGCTGGATATCTTTGCCTTGAGAAAAGGGGGCTGGGGGAAAAATAATTTGCAAATATCTGGAAAGAAAAAGTTCAAGCTCTATTCCTCATAATTCCAATATCACATAATGCAGTGGTGGCGAACCTATGGCACACATGCCAGAGGCGGCACTCAGAGCCTCCTCTGTGGGCACTCGCACCATGCCCTGGAGATGGCAACCGCCCCTCTTCAACCAGCCACCCGCTAACTCGCCAAGGTCCCACATGGATGGATGCATCCTAGCACCCATGCGCTCGCTGGCCTCTGTGTGCAGGGGCCAATAGTGTCAGGCAGCAGCCACCCTGGCCCCTGCCTTGCCTTGCCCTGTGACAATGACACCCCCGCCCTGCCTTGCCTTGCCTCGCCTCATCCCCCAGGATGAGCCTCCTGCGCACCGTCCCACCTGACAGAGACCCCCTGGATCTCCCCCAACCTTGCCCGGCCCCCACAGGCATCCCTCCCCACGAGCAACATTGAAGTGATCACGCCCACCTTGGCCACACCCACCCAACCTGCCATGACCACCACAGCCACGCCCATCCAGTGGGCCACGCCCACCTGGCACCCAGCAATAAATAAGTGGGGTTTGGGTTGTAGTTTGGGCACTCGGTCTCTAAAGGTTTCGCCATCACTGACATAATGGATTCTAGTTACATAAAGGCCATTTCTGACTGAATGTCAGGAGGAAAAATGCTAACAATAAGAGTAGTTTGATAGTCATGATTTTATTTTCTCTTCACTGGATATA